ATACAATCCACCGTAACATACGATGGATGAGGAACGTGACAGAGGGAACTTTAGATACATTAAAAGAGTGGCCACGGTTACACAGCACAGCTGGAGAGTCAAGGTAAGCCATGTGGAGGTGCAGTGCCATCAACTTTTAGCCACATTCACTCCCAGAGTTATAGATCAATGGTCAAACCTTGCATCAGGGTAATGGGGAAGGCTGACATATCTCAATTATCCTTGATTGTCGACTGTAAATTATTGCATGACTACGAGGAGTTTATGCATCCTATTATGGAAAGGCTATGATAACAGAAATGAAAAGTTATATATTTTCTCAGCTCTTGATGCAGGCATTTTGCATAGATAAGTCTAATATTTGCATATTCAGGTTCTGGCCTGCCGGTCAGTCTGTGGCAGTGTGCAAAACAGGTCAACTACAGTGGAGATTGATGGGGAGGTGTTAAGTGTAGTCTCTGTGTAGGTTGGGCAGCGGATCCCCAAACCAGTATTTTGTCTCACACTCGAAGAGAAACCTACCAGTAAGTAATGGACAACACTGTGTTGCAATCTAGTATTTACACTAACATATTAAACAACATAACTGCACTATGCACACTTGGTCATGTTTGCAAAACAGATGCAGGTAAGATATGCTTGACAATTGAACACTTCTGCATTCAGTTAAATACCCTGCATCATAGCTGTCCTCTGATAGGTTGTCATCATTCAAATGTATTCATTACAATTAATAAAGACATCTTTTTGGGAGTGTGAATCAGTTTCCTGGCACGTTTCATTTCAGTTTTAATAGACATATCTATCATAGTACGACATAGCATTACACTGCCGAGGAAGTTGACTCCCACTGTAATACCAAAACACTGTGTTTCACATATTGTTGTGTGTTGGATTCTTCTCTTATTGCTTTTTGTTCCAATAGTGAAATAGCTTTTTAAAAATATTTCACAGGATTATGAATTATGAAAGTAGCTTCAAGACAGTCTAGCCATCCTATCTATATCCCCCCTTTAAAAAAAGATAGCATTCATTCATGATCTTATCTCATAGTACTGGAGTAATTTTATAAGATGTTGTATAAGATGATCAGGCTCCACTTTACTGTATCTATTACACAAATCATCTCTATAATAATTTTAAAAAGACTTATTTTTTTACCCAAAGCATCAACACCAGTTCTCACACTCTAAAACTATGAGAAATGGTTGCAGCAGATTAAACACTGGCAAACAAAATATCTACTGAGTTTGCATCATGTACTAAATTCAAGTTTAAAATTTAAAAAATATTATGGGTTGTATATTTCTTCTTATTATGACAAAAAAGTTATATGTAGGCTATGTTGACTGTTCTCTCTATATAGGTAGAGCATATCATATGTTTTTCAGGTTGAGTGCAGAATTAGTTTAAAAGGACGGCCCTTGGGTGAACTCCAACTGTGAGCTCTTTTGTAAATGACACAAAAAGTAGCGTCTGATAATCCCTATAAATTAACTGTGACTGCTTGATTCAAAACAAGAGTGCCCCAATTAGAAAATCCAACCTCATTAAAACTATCTTAAAATACATCAAAATAGCTTTCAAGGACATAGTCAGTGTCTAGTCAAACACCAGTGGCTGTCAGACTGCTGCAATTTATTACCATCCAAAGCCACAGTCAAAATAATCTTTATAGGTCCCTGTAGGCTGGGTTTGTACTGAACTGATTTTCATAAATCATAAATGGTTGTACATGAAACTGCTCCTGACAGCTGTAAAATGGTCACGCTTTTATTTCAACAGCAAATGCCCTGTTTCATGTAAAATTATGGCTTGCATCCTAGCTATTTAGCTGTAGCTTCAGCCCTCCGCCCATGCCTTCACATGGAGTTTAGACATTTTGGGTCATTTTTACATATTGTAACATGTTCCTCAGGAAAATTTGTTAGTATCAGTAGCGTTGTTCTCTCCTCCATTCATTTCACCATTTTTGATGGGTGCACTAAATATTGTAGGTCTAGCACGGAAATGATAGAACTTCAACATCATGCTTCAAAACTGGGGTATGAAAGGTCTTATCTAAACCTAGCAAGGATCCGAAGTGTCCTTTCATCTTCCTGTAAGTCTAGAAGCACCATAGAGAAAACTGGCATCAACTGCATGCCACATAACTCGTAAAGGAGTCACGCTGAAAGTCACCAACCTACAAGGCTTAGGTGGATGTTTCAGCCCTGAGTCACCCTGTCTTCAAGAAAATTAAGGGCCTGGCCTGGCCAGACCTGCCATAGTAGTTCACAGGAGTGGCCTGGTAGCACTCACTATCACAGTTAATGCCTAGACACTGATCTTCCACTCGCAAACTTGTGCCTTAAAATAGCCATTGGATTAACGACAATCAGGGGACAGATGCCACAGAGTTGACTTGGCCCACAGAATGACTCTCTGGCCAAACATTACCAGAACCAATTATGTCTGCAGGGCTTTGTCTAACCAGACAGGTGAGGCTATAGAAGGAAAACAAACCATCTTCATTTATATTTATATTCCATTTACATTTCACAGACTGAAGACAGAATACTGGCTTTGAAGTGAAGAGTTTGAGTGAAGCAACTTCATGTGATGAACAGGAAAGACTGGTATACTAAGATAGAGCCTCTGATTAATACTGGGGTACGGATGTTTCTCTGACTCAATCAAAGTAGGGCAAAACTAATTAGGCTGTTGCACCAGCATGTACGATGGAAAAGGGACAGGGGAAGAGGCCTAGGGGGAGCTACTGTAATGAGGTCACAACCTCCCTATCCTGATCTTTGCAATGCTCCATTTTAAATATTCAGGTTCCCTGAAAATATGCATGTGTTTGCAAATGTGTGGCTTTATCTCCGTGGTACAGTGCACGGACAGTCATCAAGGCAGTATGTTACATGGTGGGTGTTTTCAACAGGATTCAGTTCTGGACTGTGTCACTACTGTTACTGGCATGTCCAGCAGTTTACTTCTAACAAACTGCAGCACCTTGATGTATTTTCTACCTGGTAAACAGCCCCCATATTTAACAATTACCAGCTGTAGTAGTTCCTTTTTCATGGTACAATATAGGTCAACTGAGCCTAATGAAATAAAAATCATGGATCCTAACATAAGCACTAAATCCAATACTCAACTCCTTCACACTTACTTGCAAAATCAGTATCTAAAAGAAATTGTGCACTGTTTGTTGAACAAATTCTCCTGCCACTCAGGTGGAGACAGGACGCACTTCACCAGTGATGAAACTTGTTGTCAAGGCAAATGACAGCATCTGATTTCATCTCCATGGAAGCAAGGTGTGCCAGACCGTAAACAATGAAACAGCCCACTCCATACAGCACACCTCAGCACACCTAAGGCGGCTTGCAGAATAGATAGTATTCTGACACATGACAACATGGATTTGTTCAAGTTGCTTTTTATTAAGTGCTTATATGTAAATTATACCCAGTAGATGACATATGCTTAAAAGTGGGCAAATACAGGTAGGAAATGACTCCTTTCTTTACAATACAAACATAATATTTTAATTTAAGTAACTTTGCAGCTTTGCCTGGGGCACTGCAGACATCCCACTACATAACGTTACATCGTTCCTGTAAAAAAACAAAAACAAAAAAAAACTGTGGAGTAACACAGTAAAAAAAACAACAACTAGCAAACATGGATCCCAGATTAACTATGTATGTGCTCCACTCTCCACAAGTGCAACATGTTACTAAAGGGGCTTCTACTGATCCACTCTTTGTCTGAACACCTTCATGCTCAAGAAAACTGTCCGAAAATAGAACCGTGTTCGTGAATGCACCGTTTTGCAAACACGGCGAGCAGAGCCGAAGTTTCACCGCTTAATTTTCGGACATTTATTCCACACATTCAGGATTTAAGCGTTGCCCGCTTCTTCCGTGAACACTGCTCAAGGAACTGCATTATTGCCATCCTGACAATATTAGTATCGAAGCAAGAGCAAGCAGATGATGGACTCACCCAAAGCTCTGTGCCCCAGTCCATGTTCAGCTTGTTGGCCAAGCCGCCTGACCACCCCGAATACAAAGAACTTCTCCAAAGTTATCCCAGCAGCAGCTCGGAGGACGGCCCTGGTAAGTATAATCCCGAGGTGATAAATCAGTCGTAACCACTACGCACTCCGGTTTTGCTTCATTCAACAAATAATGTAAACCAGCATCATAATTAACTAATTAACCAAGGCTGGCAGTCGTTAGTCTAGTTTGTCCAAATATTTTTCATAGCGAAGCAAAGAGGGATAAACTAGCTTTCATATCCGCGTCACTCCCAAATCCTAAATCTTAAAGGGGCAGTGCACTGAACCACACACGAAACTGGCCAGAGAAGTGTGCCACATGCTGATTCTCCGTGTTCTTTCAAATTAGATTTTTGTTTGTTTAAACAGCGTTATTTATATTCATCCTGGTTTATACTGTCACCCCGCTGAAGTGCCCTAGACCAAGCTACTGAGCTTTTGTGCTGCCCTGACAGAGCATCTTAAAATTCCCCAGCATGGATCAATTGATCATATAACAAGTTGACTGATGCTGGCAAATTTACCAATTCACACTGAGTTATTCAAGTCATGGACATGAATGACTAATAATTAAGACATGAAGCCTGTTTCTTTTCTTCTTTTTCTTTTTTAACATCCATGTGAACTGACTTCTGAAACCGTGAATTATTTATCTGAAATTAGGAAACATAAAAAAAAATACTCATCCTAGTCACCCCTGCGGTCACTTTTCAATGTGACCAAAATTTCATTTTTTTGTTTTATTTTTGTCTGTTTTGCACACCCAACATTTTAAGGGGAGTAGAAAGTAAACTCTAATACACGTTTAAAATAATCTAAGCTACATTGTGAAAGCAAAAAAGGGAAACCATGAAGATGACATAAATTAAATAACTGGTTTTGCTCTCATTGAAAAGTTTAGGCAGTAAGCAAAGAAGAGGTTCCAAATAGAAACACAGCACGTTGGTTGACACAGTGTGCAGCGTAACTTTATTGAGAATAGAAAAAGATCAATGGTAGGTTAAACCTTACAGGTAAAAACCAATGTTACAATGCACCTGTGGTCCTAATTAAAATCTCTCCCTCATAAGACTTTTGTACAAGAGGCATTTTACAGTATTAGTGGCATAAAGTTAGGACAGTACCATACAAAAGCAGAGATTAATATAAATATTTGCATTCCATTCTCTCCATGTAAGATAAATGGCATATCTGATTATGTTTTGAAAACATGATTTATGCTAATTTAATCTTACCTATTCAGCAAGTAATAAATATCCTAAGCTTTCACCCCATCAGACTTTGTAGTCATAGGGATCTCTGAACCATCCATGACTTTGTCAGGAACAAAGCTATATTGTCCATGTTTTTTCCAATGCAGGTATATAATGATGACTGAGATGGTCAAGATTATGAAAAGGCACACCACCAAAATGACTATCCACGGAAAGCCAGCGGTTTTACCTATAAGACAAACAAGATAAAGCAACATCATTTGAAAGTGTAATTCTCACTTCTCCATGAATAAATGTTTTTCTTTTTATTGCAACCTATGCATTGTAACATCGATATCAGTTACCACTTCATTCAGTCAATAATAATAACCTTTCATCGCCAGAGTGACATATCTTGACACACTCCCAACTTCATTCGTGGCAACACAGATGTAAACACCAGCATTGGTAGACGTGGCTCCTGTGATGACGATAGTCGCCTGGCGCCCCCCAGTGGTCTCCCTCACATTCACTGCATGGGTGTAATTCCACTGGATCACAGGGCCAGGGTTTCCCTCAGCACTGCAGTCAACGGTCACATTCTGACCCAGGGTCACCTCCTTGGATTCATTTGCTCTCTTGAACTGAGGGGCAACTGTGCAGAACAGGGGTCAGATTTGAGAGGAAGAAATAATACGTTGCAAATTGTATTTATAACCTCAAACCACTTATTTTCACAAGCAACAAAACAACATACAAAGAGTATTTTTGTAATTCCAAATATCAAAACTTACACAGAACATTAAGACTGAGTGTGTGATTGGCTGTTCCATGTTTGTTTTTAGCTTGAAGTACATATTTTCCACTATCACGCTTTGTCCAGGGTTGTTGGGAAATGATTTCTCCATCTTTATACCAGGTGACGGTGGGTAAAGGTTTTCCCTTTGGTTCACAACCAGCGGAGTCATCATTCTCTTTAACTTTATAGCTATCTTCACAGGCAAATGAAGGCTTATCTGTGAATCAAAATACTTTTGTGAATAAATAATGCAAAAAGTGTGTTTATCTGTGTTGTAATGAAATATACAATCAAGCAGGTCCGATGTACTCACATTCGATTGTGATAGCAACAAAGGTATTGCTCTTGCCGAGTGTATTGACAGCTTCCATTATGTAATGTCCCGACTGGCCCCTGGTGAGAGACTGAGACACATTGATGCGTTTTCCTTGAGAGAGCCAATTAACATCAGGTGGAGGGTTCCCATCAACTTTACAGGGTAACATGTTCAAGCTGAAGTTATGCTCCACACCAGTGTATTGGGTTGGACAATCATGTATCAGTGGTTTATCTACAAATAAACATCAGCATGGATTAAAATTGACCAAAATTGTTATTAGCAATAGTTATTGAAAGTATATGATAAACAGTTGAATGGAAAACTTACAGCGCACATCAGCAATGTAAGGTTCTGAGGTTACAGTAGGGACAGGTTCTGGTCCATTCGGTCCTAGGTGCAGCTCAGCGCTGCAGCTGAAATGTATTCCATTGTAATCTCTCTTAGGAGTCACTCTTAAGGTAGAGGACACATTAACTGGGGTCACAGTGGTGTCATTAAATCTTTCTGTCATCACACTTTCATTGCCTCTGTACCACTTCACTGTGAGGTTCTGCACAGGAGCCACACTGATGATGTCACACTTTAGCTGGTGCTCTTTGCCCTCTTCCATCGGACCAGGACGAAACTCAGAGACTGACACAGTGTTTGGAGTCTCTGTAAATTGCATAAAACATCAGCTTGTTTTATGGTTGAGCCCATTTCATTTCCAGATTAAAACATTTGGATCTATGCTATTTCAGGCTATATTTTCCATATTTACTTTGCTTTTGAAGTGGCACTGTATGAACTATGAAGAGATTCTGTAAGCAAGGCATCATTACTTTACATCATCAAAATATTTGTAGGATAAAGACAGAAGATAATGTATAGTAGTGTGTAGACTCATACTCACTATAAAGAGTGACAGCTAGTGACACGTTACACTGGGCCTGCAATGTAACGTAGCAATATGCTTCAAAATGCCAGTATGTTAGTTCTTCTACAGCCCAGGTGACAATAGGTGGTTTTTCAAACCCTGTGCCTCCAAATGCAGTCTCCCAGCCCATTCCTAAAGCGTTTGTGGCTGATGTGGTGCAATTAGCTGAAGCCGGATCACCAAATCTAACCACAAGTTCAGCAGGCGTCAATGTTAGGGGGCAATCTGTCATTCAAAAGTAAATATATTCCATTAGCATTTGATTTTGGAGCACAATAAATAATAAGTTGTCAACAATATCCACAGGTTGATAAAAAAGAGAAGATATTAGTGATACATATTCCATATCTAAACTAATGTAAAGGACAGAAGTATACCCTCTAGTGGTGATTCCTCAGGCATGTTTCTGGCCGCAGCAGGTGTCGTCGTGGGATATCTCATCACATTAACATGGATTGTCTTAGTTATTTTTCCCAGATTATTGGCAGCTATGCAGGTGTAATTTGTGTTGGTGTTTACTCGAGCAATAATGAGCTTGTCTGTGTACTCCGTCATATTCACCCCATCATGGGTCCATTGAAAGTGAGGAAGAGGGTGACCCTTAGCTTCACAGTCCAGGGTGACATTGCTATCCTCTTCGACAAAGTGGACTTCAGGAATGTCTTTGGTGAACACAGGGGCATCTGAAGAGGCAAATGTAGTCTTTTTAAATCAATCAAACATTTACATGATAGAGAACCATATTAGCTTTGGCTTGTCTAGTCTAATTTTAAAATAAAAATGTAAAAATAATCTGGAAAAAGCGGAATGTTAACTCACAGCGTACAGCAACTCTGTGTGTGGCAAGAAAAGTAGGAAGTTTCGGTCCAAATGGCCCAAAGTCCAGCTGAGCCTCACATCGAAACTCAGCTCCATTGTCTTTTCTGCTGATGTTGACTGTCAAAATAGAAGACTCACTCACTGGTAGTTTGGTTGTATTTGTGAAAGAGTCTCTCATGATTATTTCATTGTCTTTGTACCACCTCACAGTGAGGTTCTGAACAGGAGCAACCTCAGAGATATCACACTGCAGCTGGTACTGCATCCCTTCCACTGTGGCTTCTTCATGCTTTATAGGAAACATGTCGATCCCGTCTGGATTCTCTATCAAAACAAAATTAGATAATGGAGTTACTATATTGTTTTTTCTTTCTTTTTTATATTTTTTCCACTACATAATATCTATTTGAAATTACACTTACTGTACACAGTGATTTCAAGGTCTTTCGTGCAATGAACATTGCCATTCTGCATTAATTTGCACTGGGCCCTTGCATCCCAGTCTGACGGTGTCACTGTCAACGTGACAAAAGCCATATATTCCTCTTTCTCAACATCTGTGGTCCCATTTGTCCAGTATATCCCATCATGATTGTCTTCTGGGTTGGTGCAATTTACTATGACCTCCCCTCCATATTCTACTATAACCTCAGATGGATTCAGGATAAGGTCATCTGTACATGTGCTGTCCGCATCTGCTGATAGACAAAACAGTAATACTCTTTTTGAACTTTAATGGTTGACTTTGCTGCACTCTGGTGGCTCATGTCACCAATGCATATCACTTTGTGTAAGGCTGAGTTCTGTAGCTCAAGGAATGCTTTCATGTTTATAAAAACAGTGCTAAATCATAGATCTGTGTCTTAGCCATGTGAACATCACCACAGTTCAGTGAAAAGATCAATACTGACACAATATACATGTAGGTCCTTACAACTAGTTCTTCATAAAATAAATTTAAAAAATAAATACAATCCTCCTATATAATAGTAATGATTAAAAAAAAGATATGACAAACATTTGTAATATTGAATGTAGTGGGATAGTCTGTTGCAATAACATCTCTTTTTAGGATACCTGACCAAAAGGAAAAGTTATTTAACACAAAATGACACACTGAAAGAAGAGAGAGGCTACGGAAAGACGTTTATCCACCACATTTCGCTGTGCAGTTAGCAGTTAGAGTTTACTCAACTCTCACAGATACAACGGATGTTTTTTTACCACAAACATTATCACACCTACGTCTCCTAGTTAGAAGATCAAGTTTTATTCAAAAACGTTACTTTCTTTCTATTCTGTTAAAATGTCGAAGGCTACAAAAAAATTCGAATTTCCTAAAAATTACAGCACCTCACAAGGAAATTATTATTTTTTAAGTACAATCATCTAGTGTACATTTTTCAGTTCATTTTTAGTTGTCGCCATCACTGTTAACACATGGAGCTACTGAAACTTTAGCAAGCAAGAAACTACCCCAATAATTGAACATGATTAATCTCTTAAATATGTTTTAATCTCTCCCTAAAGTTACATATAAAATTTAAGACACACATACAATTATTGTAGCGCATCATTATCACTCACCACACAGTAAGGGCATGAGCATGAGGAAGCCCAACATGCTGAGAGGCATCATGCTAGATCAGCATACGGGAGGAAGGATGTGGATGGTGGAGGGCAAGTGTGTTTCAGGATGGTCCAGAGGATGCCCTGCTCCAGGTCTTGGATCAGTTCTGGCTCAGAGCTTGCCCTGATGAAAATGAAGATGATGATGATGATGAATTAGCCTACTACTTACAATTGCAGAGGCTGACAGCGAAAAAGTGTGGTGTGGAATCTAAGGGGGAAGTTCAACGCCTTAATTTACAGGAAGCTGCATAAAACGGAAACGCCACAACCACAACGTTTTATGCAGAAACCGTTGACATCCTCCCATTTGTTTGCCTTTGTCTCTCAGTTTTCACACAGGAACTCATTTGGCAGAATTTTGCTGAAAAGCATGTTGCAAATTGGAAATTATCTAAATTTGGCACGAAATTGTAACAGGCCAACAACAGAAAGTGAATTTCATTCCTGTTAGCCATCATCCAGTGATTCCCAGTCTATACACGTTACTGAATTACCTGTAATAAACATGTGTTTACAGTGAGTCTGCACTTCAGTGTAACGGCGGGCTCAGGGCAATCCCTGGATTCTGCGTTGTGTGTGGAGAATGAGGGGCAGGAGGCTTGCTTATCTTTGTATGCTGCCGTTTATTGTCTGAACAGGAAAAGAACATGTACTGGCCAGTCAAACAGCTGGCTCGCTGCAGGTGTCTCTCTTTGTCTCTCTCTCTCTCTCGCAAGTTATTTTTTAGCACAGATGCTAACTAGCTATCTTAGAGAGGGTCATATGCCATTATTTCGACATTTCAGCACCTAAAAAGTACAGCGACCCACTACTCTTCTCATTAACATTTACACATATCACAGTGTACATATATGTTTATACCGTGTACATACAAACACACTCAGCAAGTCCCCACCGGCACATCCCTCATGAACTGCCAATGTCTCAAAGCCGGCAGTGGCAGTTATCTGTATGTACGGTGGCCCTGTGAGATCAGCGCACTGCAAATTAAGAGGTACCCATGAAGGCGGAATCCTAACCGCAGCACCCCGGGTTCGACTCCAACACCCCCCCCCCCCCCCCCGACTTACTGGAATTAGGGCAAAAAATAAATCAAAAAGAAAAAAAGTGACGAACATGGCTAAGATGCACTTGTAATTCAATGGTTTAAACTTCAAAAGTCACAAATGGGCTTTGAACAACAAATCCCAGCCAGGTTCATCACTTTTTAGTGGCCCCTTGAATCACTATCGTTGTGTTGAGTGAATTTGCAGGGCATGTGTTTTCAAACTGATGCAGATAATCTCTGAATTTGCAGCGCGTTTGTGTATTTGTATGTGTTCTCTTGAGTTGCAGTACATAACTGTTTGTTTATTTATAGCAAGTGCAATCACATGCTATACAAACTCAGTTACATAGCCTATGTAGAGACACATTTTCTTAAACAGACACTTTCACATTGTTTAATATCCTAATATCATTCACATAATGTTTCTTTCTCACATCTCCTCAACCCAAATGTTATCTAGGTTTGATCATCATTGAAACTCGTTTGAGGGAGTAGGACCCTCCATGGAACTCTGCCCAGTAGACCCCATCCTGGTAGCGGCTGCGATAGTGTCCACCCCGATACCACACACCATTCAGATTGGAGTGGGCACACATGTGGTACCACCAGCCTCCTTTCTGGTAATGAGCACAATTACCTGATAACACAACAGAAGAACAGTAAAAGTTACAAACAGAAAGAGTCATCATTCCAACAGAGAGCTGACACACAGGAGTGGGGAGAGAGCAAACCTGTATAGCTATCCTTGTCTCGATCCAGAGTGGTGAAGGCCTTGTTGTTGTGCCATGAGAGGGAGTCCCCTGCATTGCCTAGGTATTGTCCTAACCGCAGTCGGTACCAGTCAGTCTCCGGTTCCAGGTGGAAGCTATCATACTCAGCAAACACCTGCCGGCCCTGCCAGTCCTCCAGAGCAACCCGTAGCTTATATTGGGCCTGTTTAGTCAGCCAATAGAGATGTTCCAAGCCAAGCCAATACTCCCCATCTAGGTTCCCGAAGCCTTGCTGTAAGACACCAACACACAAGTTTAATCTGAGGAAAATTATTTATTTGGTGTTGCTCATTTGCATCAATGTCTCTATTTTATATTGATGGTTTGGCTATAAGGTTGGTAATGTCAATGAAGCACTTTGTCCCAGATTGAAATATCTCAACATCTACTGGATGGACTGCCATGAAATTTTGTACTGACATTCATGGTCCCTGTAGGATTTATCCCAATGTTGGTGATTCCCTGTCTTTTCCTCTGGCACAACCAGCAGGTCAAAGTTGTTACTTAAGTTGTTGTTGTTACTTTACTTAAGTGATCAACATCAATTGGATGGATTGGCACAAAATTTTGTTGAATGTTAAGTGATTCTCTGATTCTTCCTCACGGTTGACATGAAATGTCTTGACAATTATTGTATGGATTGCCAGGAAATTTGGTAAAAACATTCATGGCACTATCAGGATGAACTGTAATCACCTTGGTGATCCCCCAACTTTTCAATATGTGCAAAACTTATGACATTCCCATCAGCCTCAGCTGTACTTTGGGTTTAGTGCAAATTAGCAAATGTTAGCATGCTAACATGCTAAACTAAGATGCTGAAGCCCAGTTGCAGACTCTTAGTCTTGTTTCTACCATAAAAAAATTAATGAACACTAGTGTGTTCTGCAGATTTAAAGGTACATGAAATCACCTTATACTGCTCCCAAGTCCTGAAGAAGTTGACCGACCCATCCTGTCTTCGCTGGATGACTGTCCACCCTCCTTGAGCCTGACTCTGATCACACCAAGCCTGCATTAGGCGGTTGGCACTCTGCGGGCGGAGCAGGTAGATCCCGCTGGTGGTCTCACCTGATTCCAGCACATGCTGGCAGTCCCGCCATGGCCCTGAGAAAATATGCAATCAAGTGAGGGTAAGAGAGACATAATAAGAAAATCAATATGCACAAATGTAATATTATATATAACAATTTTACTATCAAGTCATATTATTATGCATCATGTAGTATTGAACAGCCATTGCTGCTAATGTCTGTTGTAGTTCTGACCAAGTCAAATTGAGACAGACTGGATCTTCGCAAACTGTCATATTTCTTTTCTTGTAAACATTTGAAATTAAGTTACCAGCACTTGACAATTTATTTTGTGTAAAACGTATGCTTCTGCACAGACTTTATCTTAGTGGTGATAATTGGACACAAAAAAAAAGTGCCACAGGGTTTTGGAATTCTGTTTGTTTTAGCGTCAGGAAGATCTCATCATCACTGCGGCTTATCTGTTTAGAGCTGGAGCATTTTTTCCCAACACATGTTCAGTGTCTCATGTCACAGTGATAAGCTGACCACAGGAATGTGCACATAGAAAATGTATACATAGAGGAAAATATCAAGTGACAATGCCTGGTTGTCCCCGCTCACATCAACTAGATGTAGCAACTGTGCGAATACCACGCAATGCAGTCTTTCATCAGATGTTTTGGGAAGTGTTGAGTCACACACTCTGGTTCTGCTGACTTGTTGGAAGGACTGCTCAAATTCTCTATTTTGTCACTTGAGACATTCCAGTTGTGTAGGTTTACAGCCGCAGTGACATTTAAAGCTTCAACAAATGTTGTAGTTCATATGTCTGTGCTTACAAGTGTGTCTTCATTATAAAGCCCTCTCTGTTCTGATAAGAGCTGTTAGCTGTTTTTGACATTGTTTAGGCATTCCCAGAGAGATAGAGCTCCCACCATCAGGTCACTGACTCCCTCAGCTTCTGCTGCTTATCTAAGCAATTAAATAGCCCTGACAGAAGATTGGCACACTTATACACACAGGTTTGAGTCTAAACAAGCACTTCTGCTAAAAGACATGTCTGACATAGATGTACCTGGAGTCTTTGTGACAGGGTAACTAATGAAAGGAGGCTCTGTAGGAGTGTTAGCTGTAGTGGTGGGGAGGGAATGAACTCCCCCTGTTTTTTCCTGCTGTTGTAGAGGAACACTTTGGTCCCTTTGAACGTCATTGGTCATTTCGTTGGCTTCAGAGCTGTAATTAGGATGCACGTTAGAGTGGCTTTTTGCTGGTTCAGTCATCACCTGTCCAGACCAACACAAAAATAACACACTATTCTCAGTTCCTTTGTACAAATCCAGCATAAATTTGTAACATGCAGACCGCAGTTTGTTCCCTACCGCAGAGGACTGGTGGGTGGAGTCCCTGCACTGGCACTGCTTCTCCAGACGAGCAATAAACTGATTCTGGGAGCTCATCATGGAGGTAAGGGCTCCATATTTCTTCTCCAGCTCCCTGTAATTACTGGACACCTGCAGTGCCTGAGATGTTCCACCACCCATAGCAGACATAGGATGAATTTGATGATGATTAGGATAAGATGTAGCTTTGCGGTGACATGAATCAAACATCAACAAGGACTGTTCTCTGCTCACCTGTGTCGTAGCATTTAGCAGGAGGTTCTCCAGTCTTCGCTGCTCCAAAGCCTGGTCTTTTTTGTGTATGACTTCATGTAGCAGCTGGGCATAGAGCTGGGCAATGCGAGAATTCATGCTATTACTCTCTTTGCGCAGGGCTCTTACCTCCAAGGCAAGGGCCCCCTCCTGATCCATCTGGCCCCGGAGCTTCTCCAGCTGTTCCTGCTGTCGTCTGAGCTCCGCCCGCAGCACTGCCACCTCAGAGTGGTTGGTACTAGCAGACTGCGTGTTCAAACACAGCGCCCCTGTCAGTTTTTGCTGTGGAACAATGAAGGTGTAGGAGCAACGACCTCCTTTTGTATCTGAAGATCGTGATGAACGTTTCTGAGTGTTTTCTCCATTGGCTCCATCCTTCCGCCCTCCAACTTCTGGTATGTCCAGGCAGAGTGTTAGGAACAGAGTCAGACCTATTGTCAGTCTCTTCTCCATGAATTTGTTCTACTTCTGAGGACACGCTGGTAGTGGAGGAGAGGACATAATTAGAATTACCACAGCAAAAAAAACATGTATATATCACCTGATAATCCTGGACTTAAAAGTAATCATTCAGAAGCATTTCTGACATGTTGACACAAAGACATACACTTTGTATTCAAGGAAAAGTGTGTTGTGGGTTTTGACTTTTCGCCAGATGTTTCCTTGCAAATTGAAAGTACACACAGTCCCCCCTGGTTGGAATTTATTAGCAGGTCAACACTGATGGGACAACAGTCAACACAAACCAGCCAGAATCAACACATCTCTATCTCACGGTCAACAGACGGGTCAGCGCTACATCCTACCACAACAACCATGGTCAACACCATAAACGTATTAACCTAAATAAGTCAATATTGACATTTTACACAAAAATCTCCTGTATAACTTTCTCACTGAAAAACATCACGAGGACCAACAGTAGAAATCCATGTCAAATTTTCTTTAAACAAACCAGAATTGCTCTGTTACTATTTGCAGGAAAAGGAATAATTAACAATATGTATTATAATGATTTAACTTGGATGCCATAACCAGTGCAAGTACATTTAACTCTACCTAAAAGTAGAGATTTCTGAAAAAGACCATTCACTACTTACTGTGGCAGCTGAAAGGTGTTTTGAACGTCTTTGCTCTGTTCCAAAGTGTAGCGGCAGCCTCCAGGACCCACAGATGTAAAGTCAATGCTAACGCATTTTAAAAATCACATGTTCATAGATCATTCACAGTTACATAAAAATAAAAAGTCGTCTGTGGTGTTCTGTAAATGTTTAAGCGAAGCTGCAGGCAGAGAAATTGGGGTCACAAATTAATTTTAAGAAAAAAAAAAGGAAAAAACTGAGTAACATCAAAGTTTAGTCAATAGCTAGACAACCTACTCTTCTCCTGGAATTCTGTCCCAGGATCTTTAAAGAAGGACACACTAATTACAAACCATCCAAATGGCACCGCCTCCCAGTACTTGTTTATCTGGGTGCTCATTGCAGGAGTCCCAGGATGTCTACTCCCTCTGCTATCAACCTGCTCTCCTGCCACAGCCTTTTATCACATTTACAGAGCTTTATCTGACTAAAGCAGTGGTTGAAATAGTAGTATTCATAATTCATACATTCTCTGTTGCAAATACTGCAATCAAAATTTTAATGGAAGTGAAAGCATTATCACCAAAAAGTATCAAAAGCAGAAGTACTCACTGGGCAGGACTGCCACTTTCAGAATTTTGTATTAAATGATATTGCAATATTAATATTGATACAATAATGCGACTGAGGAGAAGCTAATTTTAATTATTTTATATACTGCGTGCTACTTTATTCCATAATGATCCATCATATTTTGTAAGCTGATGTGTTTCACATGTAAAAATCTGTTTTTATTTGTAAAATTTGTAAAGGAGTAGGAAATATATTTGCCTCTCAAATGTAGTGAAGTAGAAGTAAAATACGTAAAGGACGTGAATCAAAACTGTAGTTCAAATTCATATGTCTGCAGCAAATTCAAAAGTTGCAGCTTCAGTATAACTTCAGTATGACACCAGGCCTTAGTTTTACTACTCATGGAATGATCAAACACAGAGTACTTTCCTTTCACCCCACAGAATGTGCTGCAAGGGCTTTTCTGCTGCATGTGACACTATTGCAATCTGGCTCTTACAAGAAATTGTGCATGAACTGCTGTGGGTTGAAAAATTGAGTTTTGCCGCACTGATGGTCACACCCAAATACCATTGTGCCTGAGTAGGCTATCTGTGGTACTGCAGTGGTTGTCCTATCTGCTACTGATGGAGGTAAACACCAGTCAAAGGCCCGTCCGTGATGAGGTGGAAGTGCCACTTTTCACAGACCACTCCTTTTTTGTGGTTTCACAGAAGGTGACTGAGTTGTAGCCAATATTGAATACCTCACTTGCACATGTATATATACTGTCATGCATATACATACAGTATATATACATTCAGTTCCTATACATACATGCACGTACATACATGCATACATATAGCCTATATTATATATAGTACAGTACATGCAAGACTAACTCGTTTGAGTATGAGGGTATATGAGTGTGTCAGAATGTATTTATGTTTCCACTTGAGTGTGTGGTCGAGTTTGTATGCCTCTAGCAGACCATCATACTGAAAGCAGAAGTTAAAGGTGAGGGCACTGGCAGCCTGTGGCACCAAGCAACTGCTTTCAAGGCTGCAGTCAAAAAGTCAAAATAATCTCCTTTTCTAACTACTTTTCCTTGACCTCGATGGAAAACGTCATGAGCTCAAGGAAAGATGTGAAGGACTTACGAAGAGAAAATTCATTTTTAGTGCATTCCATAATGGGAGGGGAATTAGTGGAACATTTATATGTAAGTTGTAGTATTTTGTTATTATGATGAGATTCAATATGCTTGTTCTTCATGATGACTCCTAACTGGACAGATTTAAAAGAGAAGAAATCTATATTGATGGATTTGGGGTGCGGTCAATCATACAAGTATTTACATAAGGATTGTGTCATAAACATAAAACAGGTGCTCTGTTGCGTCTACATTTACATGAGTCTGCTGTGGTGAAATGTTAAGTCACTTTAGATGTTGTTGAGGCAAGGAATTGTGGGTTAGTATTTCTCCTTTCCTTTTGTAAAGGAAGGTGCAGTGTTTCCTGTGCTAAATGAGATAAGGAAAGGAGCTTCAGTGCTTCCTGTCTTATCATTTAGAGAATTCGACCAGCTCTTAACATGGCTCATGTTATGGCCCGGCTCTGAGACCATAGCAAATAAGGGAAGGCACACACGGATGTAACTAAAACAAAGGAATTTTTTTGCAACAGAAATTAGTGTTTTAACAAAGATAACAAAATTGCAAAATCAGAACTCCAACAGAAGATGATGTGGTGACAGGATGGGGAAGTTTTATATAATCTAGGTTGAGGACAATGGCCAGCTGCCTCCACTTCGTTGATGGCCTCCAGCTCAACCCATCCAGAAACTTGCGTGAACACAAAACACAACACAGCAACAATACAACACACACCCAGGACATGGGGCCGTCAAACTGACACTGAATTACATCCAGGTCATTTCACTCAGTTAGGAACATTCCTAAACAAAAAAAGACTTTTCGGCCGCAGCAGATTTGACACATTTTGAAATATAAAGGAACAAAAATACTCTCTTTAATAATCCTCTGTGTTATTATTGCAAGAGTCACACTGTGGTATGTTAACATAATTGTGCAAACGCAGGTTTTAACATAATTGAGCAAACATAAGTTTAGTAATCCACTTAGTGAATGAAAAAGAAACGTATGAAAGAAAGAGTCGACTACATGTTGTTTTCAGGTTTTTATTTACAAACTTGTTTGTTTTTCACTTTTCCGTGACATCTGAACAGTGGCAGAGTGACAACTGACACTGACATAGTTAAGTGGTGTAAATATTTGAAATAAAAATTAATGGTGTGCTTTGGGGGCTAACATGTCTCATAAAGGCAAAACATCCATGGTTTGATTCCAGCAGTGGAGTTTTGTCGTATGTTCTCAAACTTTTTCACTTTAAGAACCCCTAAAGTGACACAAATAAGCCACAGACCCCCATTTGATTAGATTGCTTTTAGATGTTTTAAAGTGTTTGAGACCCATGACCAAGGTAATTATCTTCACAATAATTAACATATATTATTGTATTTTTACCAAGGAGTCTCTCTATAATTCCATAGTTTACTTTTGATGTTGGTGTATGCCTTACTTTGGGATTATTTATCACTTTACAAGCTGAAAATCATTTTGACCCAAATTTGAGCCTGTATCAATGTAGTCATCTGGAGCGAGATGGAAGAGCAAGAGCAAAGAGTCAGAACTGTCTTCTACACATGCACAAATTTGAATCTTGCATGCAGATTTATTTTAAAGGTTACAAAGGTTCATTTTCTTTGGAATTATCTGCGAACATCACTTTACACGCTGAAAATCTTTTTGACCCTAATTTGAGCCTGTACTATCTGAGCCTTTAGTTCATATTCACTGACAGTGAGGTACATGAATTGTCTGTACTATATTGTGCCTTCCTGGACACTAGTTAGAGATGAAGACTTACCAGAGTCTAATTTGAATCATGTGCGCTTGCTGTCCTCTACTGGTCATGATCAGGAACTGCAATAATCATAATCACAATTTTGTGTGTAGATAGATAGATAGATAGATAGATAGATAGATAGATAGATAGATAGATAGATAGATAGATAGATAGATAGATAGATAGATAGATAGATAGATAGATAGAGATATACCATGTAACATTGAGTAAACCCTTGGTTGTCTTATTGACTTATATTATGAATTATTAAACACATATTTTACTTTGCACAACATATTTTACTGTAGGCTATTAAATATAGACAAAACTGTGAAATAAATGTGACTCAATCACTCCATTACATGTTACAGGGGTTCATTTTATATCATTCATAAGGTTCCCTAAAAAATAGGTACACAATTTTTACACTCTGTCTTAAAACAATAGTCAGGTGTCCATTTGGACATTGAAACAGGTTTTACTTTTGCAGCTAACATCCAGTTGTGGTCTGTGGTATAGGTATAAAAATGCTGAGCAGGTCCAGTTGTTTCTCATTTTGAATCAAGATGTAAGTGGAGAAGATCTACAGGGTAGTCAGGTTTGCTCAGTGTGATGAAATGTTAAGCCTTGTATTTTGTTGCTGTAACCACCTGTCACAACTGAGTTGTGCTGCATACCCATAGCTTGTAGCTTGAATGTCAAGTGTATGTGCACTTTGCTGCTATAATTTATGTGATTTGAGGTGAATATCAACAGCAAATCAATCCTGTAATAATGTCTTGTGGTGTACCTGATACCTGATTCAATGCTTGAGACAGAGAGCATGGTTTGCACACCTATGGAGAGTCTGTTAATGCGTAGTCCCTGTCATGATCCCTGTAGACCAGTAAGCAATCTCAACCAAAATTCACAAATAATGTTATTATCATATAAAACCATGAACACAATCCTTAAAAAAAATTTGATTCAGTTGCGACAGTTAGGTTTCAACAGTTGTTCATGCGTTTTATTAAATGGAAACTTTACACTAAAAGGTACAGTAAAGTCATCATATTCAGACAGTAACACAACAAGATACTGCATGTCATCATTGTGGGTTTTGTATTCCCTCAATGTCCAAGAGAGGGGGTTCAACCTCTATGGTTGGAGTACTGCTGCCCGTTCCCTGAGATTCAATATTGTCTGTCCTCTCTTGATACAGTGAAGCTCTAGTGTCTCTGTCTGTTACCTGGTCCAGCAGAGAAAATGCAAAGTCCTGTGTGTGGTGCACAGAGCTGGATCCTACTGGGTCATTTTGTGTGGGACTATTGATAGAGCTCTGTTGGCCTGGGATGTGCCCTGTGCATATGGATGTGTGAACTCCTAAGGGTTTGAGAGAACTGAAGGCAGTGTGATACTGTGGCTGGCTAGTGGGAGTGACGGATGTATGGATGGGTGTCTGGGACCTGGTATGATTATGTGTGGGATCAGAGTTGGTTTGAACACTCAGAGAGGGATGGGTGTAGCCAGAATTTACTGGGGAACATAGGGAGTGAGAGTTGCTCATTGTAGGAATAGAGGCACTGTAGATCCCCTGTGGGGCCTGACAAATCACAGGCAAGCTACTGAAGGCAGGACTGAGGCCCAAGAGAGATGGACCTCCATGAGAGTGGGTCATGTAAGAAGAGTTTGGAGTTGTTCTGGTAGTTTGGAAGGGGCCACACTGGCTCTGTAGCCTGTGAGCTGTGGGCCCTTCTCTGTCAGAGCAGCACAAGTGTAAACAGGATGACATAGGGCTTGAAGAGTGCAGCAACGTGGGACTTCTGCCCTGGGAGGGCATCCCAGTGCAGCCCCACCCATTTCTAGCAGGGTGGCTAATCGCTTCATGATGGAGGTGCAGCCCAGTGGCTATATTTAGAGGGACATGAGACTGCCAGTCACTGGAAGCAGTCACATTAGGACTGGGGACCATCTGTATGCCATAGGAATACGAGGAAACAGGAGAGTTATAATGGAGCATGGCCATATGAGACTGCAGGTAATGCATTATGTCATGGAGCTCCTTGGCAAGGTTGGATACATCTTGGTTCAAGTTGTTCACCTAAAAAGAAAAAGAAATATACCCGATATATTTTTTATAATTTTCATAGAACTCCTCAATGATTTAAAAAAAAAAAACCCAAAAACAGATACACCTGGAGGGATAAAAGTCTAGTTGTTTAAAAGATATTGTTAAAATTGGAGTACATTCACTTCTTAATGGGCATTTTAACAGTGTAGTAAAAAAAAAAAAAGAAGTCATTTAGCATTAAATACATGTCAAACAACCAGGGCATATTCATGATGCACATGCTCAGCTGTTCAGGAGCAGCAAAATACTGACAATGTGAAAGAGTAACAGAAACATGTGTGTAAAAATGTATATATATCAAGGTAATAAAATTCTTTCTATTTTCATGTCATTATGTTTTTCTAATGTTGACCATACCTCTTTGTTCAGTTTGCTTATGTTTTGTCTCACTTCCTCCGTTTCCAAAAGCAGATTAGCGCTCACTTGTAACTGCTCTGAAAAAGGATGAAGAATAGAGAAATGCTGAGTATGGACATATAATGTGAGATCAGTTCACTTGCTGTCCACTGTGCATCTTGCAGAGACTTTACCTGTGACGTTAGTCTCTGCTTCGCTCTGCTCTACATTGAATTGAAATGTGTGACCATTGTCCTCAATTCCATCTACAACCCTAGCAGAGACAAAAATCAGTGTTACATCATTTTTAATCGATGCAAACTGATTACTGATTCATATTCAGGTAAAGCAGGATGAATAGCTTACCTGGGGCTAAGGTTCAGTGGACTAACACAAGGCAGAGACGGCATGAGTAGCTTGGCAGGCCGATGGTTCAAGTCCGGGTCACTGGTGAGACAGGGCAAAGGAGACAAAGAGAGCTCCTCCCCGGTGAATACCTGAGGAGAGGGGCTGTGGCCTCTATTACCTTGAACAGGTGACCGACAGAGGCGGAGTGCGTTGATGTGGCGGAGCTCCTCCCCTAACAGGGTGCTGAGGCAGGGCTGATGAACAGGGCTGCCCATTCTCTGTAGCAGAGGCACTCTCCTCTGCTGAGAGTGTTTCATGTCTTCTCCATGTTCTGCATCATCTGCCTCAATGATGAAGGGGAGTTTATGGTCCATAGAAACATGACCCTGAGGAGAAGATGGTTGGGAAGTCAGTGTGTTTTCTTTTTTCTTTGAATTGTGGAAATGATTTATGATTATTTTTGTGTGTGTAATATACCCATCATATCACTGTAGCATTAGGGTTTAGCTCAAAGTGGCAGCACATTTAGTGTAAGAAGACAAATTGATTTCTGGTGTAAAATAGCAGATATTTGTATGTACAGTGTGCTGAATAAAAATTTATGAGCAGAATCTAAAAGTTTTTTTCTTGCCTGCAACAGACCAGACACCGAAAATAGAAAACAAACAGCTACAGTCTAGATACATTAGTAAGTCAACTTTGGATATTCTTGTCATTTCAACTTTCCTTATGTGAGCATGCAAGCTAGCCAGTTGCTGAAAACAATTGTTCTGGGGCCTGCAGTAAATTTTCTCATGGCTTGTGCATATTGAAGTGTGCACACAAACCTGAAATAATTAATGTAGCAAAGCCTTCTCTGACTCCTATTACTCTTATTAATTTTGACTGTGACGTATAGGTTATTTTAGGCTTCTCTTCGTTAGCTTGTGCACTTGTTTGTAGCTTAAAGTTTTATCTCTTGCCTGTGTGGCCCATTTGCAAATATATGCTGTTTCTGTCATTTTCGCTTTCTGTATCTCATCTATGTGTATGAATTAACACAGTCAATGTGTTGTTTTCCATATTTACTATGACAATTGTAAGATTTCAGAGAAGCAGAGTAATGCCTTGAGATGTGAACACAGACTGTACTGTAGCGTGTACCTTAGTGAGGCACACATACCTGAGAAGACCTGGGAGTCCATGGAAACCTTGTTACTCCCTAGAGATATTGAAGTCAAAATGAACAAGCGATTACACACACATTCTATATTTGGTGACAAAGTATAGGTATGTTTCAATTAATGAGCAGGAACAAAGAAATTAAACACTTGTACACTGAAATTTCTGCCTCTGTCTGAAGTGTTTTCCACTGCCTGTGAAGTGATGGCAAATGTCTTACATCAGCTTCACTGCCCTCTCTCAAGTTGTAGGTGAGGTTGTGGTGGATGTCAGAGCTAAACCGACTGCCGTACTCTGGGTACAACCCGAGGACCTCCCTCAAAGCCCTCACGCTGATGTACTGCAAGTCACAGTAGGTAAGTGCCTTCACATCTGCATTGGTCTTGATCACCTGGTCATGTTCTGGGAGATCGGCTCCAATAAGGTCACCTTTGCCTGTAGGGATTGTGAGTTAAACAGAAGGGTTACGACAAGATGCAAAGAGGCAAACATGAGTAAGAGGGGAAATGTTTCACACTTGGTGCATGCTGACCCAGGATGGCTAGGACCATGCCATCTTTCAGAACCTCCAGGGAACCGGAACAGACGAAATAGTTGGCTTGTAGGGCATCTCCGTGGCGGATAAGGTATTCTCCTGGTGCACAGAAGGAGGTCTTGATGTGCAGGGAGAGGGAGCGCAGACACCCTCTGCTGGCTCGCTCAAATACAGGCAGCTGCAGGATGTCTTTGTTCAGATGCATGGCAATGTCAGCTCGCAGTTCATCTGGGAAGTCATGCAGCAACTAAAACAGAAGACCGGGAAAAATCTAAGCATTTATTGACTATTGCTATGCATTTCATTTCGTCCAACAGGTCTGACAAATACTTGAATACTTCCTCCACCACTGTAAAACACAAGAACAAAAAAAAAAAAGGCACACATTGTGGTTTTGAAGGTAGATGCGCTCATATGATGTGTCAAGCTGCTAAGCGAAAACAGACATGAGGTGTTAAAGCCAGCATGTTCTCAGAAACCAGGGCCTGTGTCTGTTACCTTCAACAGTGAATTAATTATCTACAGATGGCGATGGTGAGGGTGTTAATGAGTATTCTCTCTATTTCAACTCCTACCCTTGTAATTACAGAGAACTTCTCCTAGATCGGTTCTGGCATTGTTTCTGACTTTCTATTTGTAACAAAGTGCTATCTACTTAAGGAAATGGAATAACACTCCAGAGAATGTGAGGTGACCCACATATTAAGGATGGCATTTCTGAATCTGGAATCTAGCACCCACACAAAATGTACTTTTTCTTCATGAAAAAAAAAAAAAGACATTACAACAGCCCACACAGTCAATGGTTCATATACAGTTCAGTTACTTATTAAAAAGTGACTAACTTTACGAGAGAGATATTTTTTTGAAGATACCACAGGCAAATAGAACCACACAAACACTCCTAGTTTGTCATATTTCACCCACCTCATTGGCATTGATACCATTGTTGACTGACCAGGTGGCCTGAAAGTACTCCAGCATCCTCTGCTTCAGCTGTTGAGGTAGCCGATGCACACGGATGAAGTCCTTAAGATCCTTCATTCGGGTGTGATACAGTGAGCGCCGTGAGTACATGCGCTGGATGATGGCCGTCACGTTGCCAAAGACCACAGCATGCATCAGGGCTGGAGGTGGGAGAGGGAGTGACATTATGATGTTCTCAGATCATTTGACATAGTTCTGGGAATTTTCTGTGATTACCAGTAAACTCACCGCCCATGAGCATAATGCAGATGGAGAAGATTTTCTCGGCATCTGTGTTGGCACACACATTGCCAAAACCAACACTGGTGAGGCTGCTGAGGGTGAAGTAGAGAGAGGCGATGTAGGCGCTAGGCATGGATGGACCACCCATGGTGCTGTTGATGTATGGCGTCTCCAGACGCTTTCCCAACTCCTGAAGCCACCCTGGTGGATGAAGTCAGTAGATGGCTGGATGAACTCATGCGGGGGGGGGGGGGGGCTAAACTAATTGTGAAAAAATGTTTTTTATAGTCTGCTTCAATGGATGACCCTCTCTCCTTTGGTAGGTGATATAATGCGTGGCAGGTGATATAATGGGAAATGATATAATGAATTATTGGTGATATAATGAAATGGAAAACTCTGTGACCTGCACTTCCTCTGGACTGAGAAGACAAGCTAGATGCTGAAATGATGCTGCGGCATTCAGTCATTCAAGCATGACTAGAGATGTGCTGAGCTGGCCCGATGCGGTTGCCAGGAGAGACACTAAGAACATTACACTCTTGATTTAGTGGAGTGGGAGCTGTCAAACATACACATACAATGAGCTCACCTATGTCCCAGGTAACGGGGTCACTGCTTTCTATCTCCTTGCGTCCGATGACGTACCAGACACAAGCCATCCAGTGAGCCAGCAGGGCGAACACAGACATGAGCAGGGTCAGGACCACAGCGCTGTACTGGGAGTAGCGATCCAGTTTCTGTAACAGGCGCAGCAGACGCAGAAGACGAACTGTCTTCAACAAGTGCACCAGCGAGGTCTAGACAAAGAGAGGGAGAGCAAAATCAGCTATCATTTTTGTAACTCTGTTCTGTTAGGTAAGATTTATTGATTTTAACCTGTGACACATCCTCCTGTCTCATCTAACCTTGAGATTCAGTGTCTTTTAATAGTCTCTATTGTGAAACACTGAATTCAATGTTACTATTAGCAGGAAAGTGTTTTAACCAGAGTCAGAGAGATGTCTGTGTGTGTCAGCTGAGGCCTGTGGCAAAGTAAGACTAATCCACAAGAAGTACCAGTGTTTATCTTGAGGATAAAACTAAAGCGGGCAGACAATCGTGAGTGCTCAGTGAAGTGGGTGAATGTAGAGGGATAATCATCTCCAGTCCAGTGCTCTGAGGGAATAACACTACTAAAACATTAGTGGCCAGTCTTAAAGTTAGTGTTTTTAAAGAGACAGGAAAGTGTAAAACCTGGGGGCATACTGTACTTCCAGTTATATAAAATGACAATCTTACGACTGTGATGTTGAAAGCGTAGAGAAGGTCGAAGGGCAAAGCTGCGATCAGATCCACAAAGAACCAGGTGGTGCAGTAATGGAGGTAGATGGATCGGGCGTCATACACTACCTGACCTGACTGACTCACATAAGTGGTACGGAAATTCAGGATAATATCTGAAAAGGAGCAGGAAAACAGAACCACATAATTGTACATAAAAAAAAATCATGATTGCATAAAACATTTTAGGTCTAAGATGGGCAGTTTGGAAGTTTACTGGGACTATAGCTCAGGTACATAGAAAAATAATTTATGAGCAAAAATATAAAATAAATGATTTGTTTAAAGTTCACTAACAAATCAAGTGTTTAGACTGTAATACAACTAACATAATTTAGGCAAACCTAAAATAAAAGTTCATAGGTATAGTATAGTAGGGTGTAGTCCGAAAATGAATATAGGAGGGCATTTCACACCTTTTAGATCATTCCTTGGATATTAGAGGCAAAATAAAAGTAACTGATAATATTAATATCAGTCAGTTTCAGAACTGCAGTATAAATCATTCATTATTTGTATGGAATTGAAATGATATATTTTTTAAGAAACTATGGACACCACAAAGAATTGCTTTTTTGCCATTCCCAAATCTACATTAATGCTGAGAAAAGGCTGAATGGACAGTGTTTATGAATTACATGAAAATGGCTCAGGGAAAAGCATTCAGTAGTACTCGACACTAAATGTCTTTAAGTGAGGCCATAAAAAATGATTTTCTTTCAGAAAAGCAAAAACATGGAGTGTGAGCATGTGAGAGCATATTTGAGCACAAATATCAGTTGGTCCCCAGACAAACCTGTTGAGAGAGAGAGAGGGGGAGTCAGAGAGCCTCATGACAGATGTGCTATCACACTTCCTTTGGAGGAAAAGTGGGACAAAGTGAGAGAAATCTAATTATGATTCGTAACCTGGGGCAACAGAGACACCCTGAGTGGGTGGGGAGAGGTAGGAGGTTTAGTGATGTGTTAGCCATCGCCAGGGAAACCGCTGCAGCTGCACTCGGAAATATAGTTGTTCTTAATTTGAGCAGAACATTGTTGTCTCTTCATAATGCTGCTAAAGATGCTTCAAAATATAGGTCAGCTGGTGCACAGCATGCAATCACTGTATGAGATATTACTTTTAAATTATAGTGGTCCAAGCTACAAATCATCTTACTGAAAGAGGTTAGACTACCAGGAGAAAGATGTTTATAGCTGAAGTTGCTTAGAAGTTGTTCAAATTTCTTAGAAAAGTATTTTAAATAAATAAAATTTAAAACCTAAAATTACATGACCGCAAACATACCCGTGATTACAATGGTTTAATCAAATGTAAATGCATCATACCAAGTATGAAGAGCATCTCCACTGCTATGTCACTGCCTATGGTGCTGCGACTGAAAAGCGAGTGATGGTCACTGCCCTCATCATGACTGACAAAGCAGACATCATAAGGCACCGTGACAGCAACGTAGAAGGTTGCCAGTAGGATTAGCCAGTCCCACAAGGCCTTGGAGATGCTGTAGTGCAGCAGGATGAATCGTGACTTCTTCACAGCTGCAACCTTGTACTCAGGTAGAGACGGTTTCTGGAACACACTCTGAAAGCATCACAAGAAAACAAGAAATATCTGGAAGTCATGGGATTTAAATTGGTGGTGTTCTCCCTTCTGACAGCCCGGTGTTGTGGGAGAAGAGTTGACACAGTTGGAGAGCGGAAGCTTGTTTAATGAACTTACTCAGGCTTAAGGAACTGAAGTGCTTGTATTATATTTATGGCCACCTTAAACCCCGAGAAATAATGAATCCTTTGGATAAATGAAACCAAATTTGAAAATGAGAAAGGCCGGATTTTTCTTCTTCAGTGCCTACTGATGCAGTGTTTGCATACAGTAATTAACTCAGCATGAAACACAGAGTAGCTAGTAAACCTGCCAGTGATCATCCATCATCATCATCATCATCATAACATTTTCAATACACTTGAATAAATAATTTATGCCCTCAGGCTTGTTGAATGGACAGCAGTGATTTGAAGATGGTCACAAATGTACATAAGAAGTAAGGTTCATTTTCTAATCCTTGGTGTCAAAGACCAGCAGACCAAACAATAATGCTTGAGACTGGTACTTGAAACCAGAGCAAAGGCTTTTATTTTGAGAAAAGCAACCAAACATGACTCAGTAAAAATGGATAGTGAAATATTAAGACTCATATATATACTGTACTGTACTCACATTGGTCAGCTTCTTCTTGCCCCTCTTGGTGAACAGGTTGGTCAGGTGGTGCAGAATAGTCCTCCCCCTCTGTCGAGCTTGGGAAAAGTGCGATCGGTTGCTTTTCCTGCTCTGATGAGCAGCCTCTGACATACCTGTGGGCAAAATCAAAGTACCCCACTGAATAAATGTAAAGTATTGTAAATTAATATTCCATTTAGCTTTAAATTATATGAACAAATGTGGCAGCATGACATTTTGAAGGTGAGGAAGTCTAAATTAAATTCAGACTGTTAACAGCATGAAGCCAGGCCTCACCATCTCCTTGGGCGTAGTGGTGGCTCTTCCCATAAGATTCACTGATATCTTTAAAGGATAACAGGAACATCACCACCTCACCTTTCTCGTTTTTTATTGGCACGATATCCAGGAGGCACCAAAATGCATTTCCTGAGGATATTAAGAAAAGTTATTACTAGAGACTAGAGATAACCCAAATATACTGCTAGACAATTTTTACCGCAAAATTATGATTGGAATTCTATTAACGCTTGGATAGGAATGTGTTTTTATTCCAGCTAACCTCACCTGACTGTCTGCTGTATGTCTGCATGGCATGTGTTCTGGAGTTGCTTTCCTTAAACAAAACTGGGTCAAAACCTCATCTGACAAAATCACCAAACACACAAGTTAAAGACAAAGCCTGTGCTGTCATTCGGCTATATTTACTTATAAAATGATCACTCAGAGAGAAAGTTAGAAGCAACAGAATATCTTTCTTAGTTTGTCTCTCATACAACGCACAGCCTCTCTGTCTGAGATCCAAAATAGTTTTCAACTACTGTTTTCCCTCAAAAAGTGACTGGGGACTATATTTTCCTCAACTCCAGATCGAACCAGACTTTTAGTAGAGGCAGGTCTTTATTTCTAATTCCCCCTCTTTGACATGTATAATTGGTCATATACATATTTTAGTAGGAAGCCTCCTTTTGAGTCGCTCCCATCTGTCGCATTAAGGTTACTGCATTCCATGTTAATACAAACTCAACACTTCCTGTAATCGATTCAAATTAAAAGCCCCCTAGCGCTTCAGTGGACAGAAAGCCTTTTTTTCTTAACAGGACTTTTATTGCTGTGCTGCGTTAAGTGTAATGTCTCATTTCCAGTTGCTGGTGTTTCCGTTGTTTACATGCTATTCAGATTTGCTAGTTTCTTTAGCATAGCAGTTACCAAAGGCTACTCTCTCTCCATCCAACTCTTTTTGTCTTGTGTCTTATGTTTAGTTATTCCTCTGCCTCATTTAGTAATAATGATACATGTAATTAAAGTAGTTTATTTGCCATAATGGAGGCGAACTTGGTGAACTGGAAGCATCACTTTACTTCCCTGCAGCTTCAGAGCAGCCAGGAACCAGAACTGTTGGGTGACTTCCTGTAGCAAGAGGTGTAGCCCTAAGCCCATGGTTGGCACCCATACATGGTCAAGTCATGTGGCATTTGGCTGACCAATAGTGGACAAATATCATATGTCAGTCAGTCAGTGACATTCACCATTACAGGGCTGGCCCTGCTGTTGGGGTTCAGAACATTAGCCTTTAACAAATTCTGAAGACTAAAAATATTTTTTGGCTTGAGAATTTAAAAAAATACTTTTTAGGCTTGAGACATAAAATCGGTGTTGTGTTTCAGAATGCATGGCAAACTCAACATGTGGGTGAACAGATAAATCCTCACCATTTTTCCTATAGAAGCAGACTTCTCCCTGGTACTCCTGCTGTCCCTCCAGAGCTTTGTCAACCTGTTGGGTCACACTGTCATGGGTCTCGGCCCCGTGGAGAAAGCTGCAGGTACAAGTTTTCTGCATCACTTCAGTCCGAACAAAACCGGTAAGCTCGCAAAACCCGTCAGAGCAGTACACGATGGGGTAGCCATAGCGACCCAGTGCATTTCCCAGCAGGAAGTTACTGTCTGCAAGGAAAATAAAAGAAGACCAAGGTTGGAGGTATAAAGCTTCTGTGTGTGATTGAACAACAGGCAATATTTTGTGTGTCTTTAACTGCACAGCTGTGATGCGGCTTGAGAAAGTAATTTTAGCTCTGTGAGCATCACATTCAGACTCTCTCCTTTCCAATGAACTTCACCTTGTTGATGCACCAACAACAAAAAAACAACTTCTCTTTTTCTCTACCTGAGACATTCTCTCTGCCTTCAGCTCAGATACCTGAAATAGTCCAGTGTACATCAGAGAAGGCTTTGAAGTATGCCGATGGCGTGTATGAAGTCTAAAGGGTATATGCAGGGCCACAGTTGGCTCCATGGGGGACCAGTTCCTCAGTGAGGCTTTAGCCCTTAATTAGCATGCACACACACACACACACACACACACACACACACACACACACACACACACACCACCCTGACAATTTATTTCCATTTGCAATAAATAAGGGGGTGATTACTTAACTCAGGTGTCAGTTTATTGCAACCTAGCGCACCTAGCTACAACTGACGCAGTCCAATACAACAGCCCTGCAATAAATCCTCTTATATATTATAATGTTCAGTTTTTCTTTTTCTATCTACCTTTATCTTGAAATTTGGTTTAGGCAGCTGTTACTTACACAGAAGATTGCTTAATTACACAACAGCCACCATAAAAAAAATTAAAAATAAATTTAAAAAAATCACATGGAGCAGAAAACATTTTTCTTTCTAACAAGCATATTTTAACTAAAGCTTTCATGTTATGTTCGTAAGGAAGCAAATACCTCTGTGTCTAGAGAATGCTGCTAGAGAAAAAATGGGGGAGATGAAGATCTTGTGTGTGAAATCAATTATCGCACACAGTTGTTAATGAAAGCCTTGTTGGAGGAGAAAAATACAAGTGAAATTATTTCTAACTGCTGGAACAATGAAGAGTCATTTTAGAGCAGGAAGTGTAGGTGGTGAAGCAGAAGAACATAATGAATACTGAATTTGAACAAATCCCTAAATTCAATCTGTGACATGTTGTTTCTTGCAGTAAAACACTATTCTCTCAAATAGAAGACTTTCTTCACTCTAGGAAGGCTGTGAGAGACCATGCGGATTGGAAGAACTTATCTCAGAGAAAAGTGAGTCAAGAAAGACACTGTGGTTAATGTACTCAAACCAAAGACAGATTCATGTACGTCTTCTTTCCATGTAAACTATTTAAAAACTATACGTGAGTTTTGTAAATAACAGTATCCTCTTAAAAAGTCACTTTCAAAATGAAAAAAAACCCTAACCCCAACCAACAAAATAAAGTAGCCTTCCTTCACTCCCATTTTAACCCACTCATAAACTGCAGAATGACTTGTAAAAACTGATATAGGATCATGCACTCCAAGGTCTATTGTAAAGAGACATAACAGCCAGACGTCACCATTATGCACTGACTAATGCAGGTCTCCTTTCATTCATATCCACATATAATGCTAAATGACCCTTCACTATTTAGACAGATAGACCAAGTCCGCTGAACGGTGTCTTCTTTCAGTAATTCACTGAGTTGCTGTTTGAATGAAGGCAAATTTAATTTCCAGCAAACACTCTTGTTTGACGATGCTGCAAAACACAAGAGTGATGATATAGCTGAGGGGACAATGTTGAACACCTGTTCTGCAGCAAGTTTTAATGAATGGTGCTTTGTGTTCCCTCTAGAGCTCGGAAGATAAACAGACTGATAATGCCATGGTTTATTCTGATGCGTGCTGCAATAGATTCACTGTCTGTATTTTATATCATATTTAAACAAAAAAAAAAAAAAAGCGGGCAGAATAGAGGGGGTGTGAACAAAGTGTCTGTTCCAGAGGTGCAATTAACAACGTGTGGATATTCTTCCTCAAATGTGTGCAGTAAATCTCACAAGAAACTAAATTAAGATCTTTCCACGCACGAGTTGCCATAGCAATTTGTGCAGCAAAAAAGTAAAACATATGGCAATGCTGCAGTTATCATCTCCGAGGTTACCAAGGAACTGTGCCCTCTGAAAACACAGATGTAGCCAATAAAGCACTGGCAACATTAGCCTCAGTCTGATTCATTCTTAACTGATTTGAATGACTCTGATTGAGTCTGAATGAGGACTTAGTAAAGACTGAGCTCCTCAGCTAAAACTGAAGCCCTTTGAGCCCCTTGTGTTGATTTCTTTTTCACCAGTTTCATAATGCAATTCAGTCTCAGATTCCTGACCCAACCGTAATCTTCATGAACAATGTTAAATCTTGAATCTCTTGCCACAGTTATTTGGTTCGGGCTCAAAATCAAACTCTTCCACTTTGCTCTACATCTTTCATCTCCCTCGGTCTGTTTCTATGGCTTCATGTTATTCAAGAGAACACTGTGGTTCACACTGACTGTCATAAATGTCTGACTGGCTGTGAAACTTACTCACAGCGGTCTCTTGTCAGTAAATGCTCAAAGTCTTAGCTCAGAAAATGAGTGTGTATTGTGAATCATTACAAAAAGATTTTTGAATTTCTTAGTCATGAACCACTTTATGAGCAGTCACTTAATGCATTTGCTTCCTTCCAGTTAATATTGCAATCACTCAAAAGCAAGGATTGTTATCACTAATTATCGATGACAGCACTTGTGAGGAGTAGAAAGATGCAATTCAAACACCTACTCGTGACAATTAGCAGAAGAGACTGTTGACAATGAGGGACATAAAGCAGCTACAGCTTTCCGTGCTTGGTACCGTGCAATTATATCACTAAAGCAATTTAATACCTAGATACATGATACTCTTGACCCTGAAATTCAGTACAAAGTACAAATATTATACAAGAAATTATACGTGCTGAACCATCAAATTAATTTTTTAAAGCTGATATTAATTAGTTTTATTTGGATGCGGTCATTGATTACATGAATAATTTAAGTAATTTTTCTCAGCTTCCCAAGAGGATGACTGAGCAAGACCTCCACTGATATGTGATTGGCTCTTGCCCTCTGCATAATTTATTTTAATTCATTTTCCTGCTCACATATCAGGCTCATGTGAATACCACCTCCACTCCCCTGAGCCCGCAGCCTCAGTTCACATTCACACTGGGGAGCTTTGTGTCATTTATTATTTTGTCTGCAAAGAGACATGACTTCAAATAGACTTTCAGCTCCGCAGTTATCCTCTTGTCTTCAAAGAGACATCTCCACACAAAACAGCTTTCGATTCAGCCGAGACAGATTCAAAAGCAGTTCCCAGACTGAATTGTGCTCTGAAGCCACCTCTTGTCAGTGAGGCCCTTCACCACCCACTCAGCTACTTGGTCAATCCTCCCACTTCACATACCAGAGGTAGGCTATAAGATGTGCTCCGCCGATGTGTGTAGCCTTCACGTGCAAGTCTAAGTGTGCGGAATGCAAGGGCAAGATGACGCAAAGATTTGTGTGTGCATGTGTGTAATAGGGAGATACAGACGGAGATAGTGTCATCGCACTGAAATTGAGAATTTGTTATGTTGTGAAGTTGTGATGGACAGTCTGACCCATACACACTCAGTCACACCATTAATTATGTTCTGGAACGAGCTATCTACCGCCTGCTGAGTTTCTATGTGTATGGATTTTAAGGTAGGGACTAGTCAGGCAGGAACAAAAGCACAAAACCAACAAAACAAAAAGTTCAAATGGATGAACAGCGGATGAACTGCATTGTCTTAGCATTAAAATAAACCCACAGTCTGACTGTTAGGGCTATGTTTCAATAATGCAATAAGCAAAGACCAACAAATTGAATGTGAGTTAGGTTTGTGACGGTGTATCCAGGTGCATCTGCTATACTTCATTCATGTCAATCCAGCTGCAGTGTGAAATACCATATAAATCAGCCCTAGCGAGTCACATTACTGTTCTCATTGTTCCAACTAAAGTGGTGAAAGGTAAAAATAGCTCACAATGAGACTAGCTTCTCCAAACAGGAAAATAATGTTGCTGTCTGGGAGTTTCAGAGTGGTGGCAGAGGTGAGCGTTACTAATATGCAAATGTGGATTCACATTTGTGAAAACATTGAAAGTCACATCATGCCATGTTTTCGATTCAATTCAACATTTAATTTCAAACTCAATAACTGTAAAAGAATTAAATTATAAGATAATAAAAAGTAGAGAAAAAAAGCAACCACAGTTTTTCAGTACAATGATATTTCCTCTGCGATAATGTTTCTACTGATTGCTTTTAGGCGAATAGTAATTAGCATAATTGTGTAGCTGATGCAAATTTGCATCAAGTATTTTTTTTTTAATGAACTTGTTGGTAGATAATTATTAAATGAAAGACACTGTGCAGAAACAGATCTGGTCCTGACTGACATCTATTTTCAGCAGCGTCAATTGGCAAATTTTCACCAAAACATTAACACCTCTTTTGCCTCATTTGCATGGAGCTCCCATTTTCTCTTTCTCTCTTCTGCCACCTGTACACCATTCGACCAATGCTTGGCCCAGATGACCAAAAGGATGTGCAAAGCAAATATCAAGGTCCGAAAAATACCAATATATCTTGCAGTAATCTGCCCTGCCATGAGAATAGAGCCCTGAATGTTTTAAAGCTTTATATCGATAAGAATTAACAGAGATAATCCGTGGAAAATGTGTGGATTCAGTGGTATTTGTTTGGCAGATTTCAAATGAGAGGAAAGATGACAAGCATTAGTTATGCAGCCTTGATATGTTTATGTTTGCTTGTTTTAAAGATGCACCGTGACTGAATAATGCATGAATCTCAAAAGTGAAATATCCTAACAAGCGACACAACGGCTCAACAAGTGGCTCTTTAGTTCCAATTTATCATTCTATAGGCTGCACTGTCCGCCTCCATCTCTAGTTCTGCTTTACTGTCATAACGTGCAGTCTTATAATTGGATCTCACCACAGTTGGATACATTTGTCGACAGCAGTGGTTGTCAGTGCCAGTCACAATCCTAAACTGGGTTACAAAAACGCCACAGGCTGAAATCCTAAAAGCTAGGCGTAGCTGGTGGAGTTGCGTCCTTAAAACTGAGAGAAAACCATTTGCACGCAACACAATTTTCATTTTATAACACGTCCCTTGAGAAAAGTTTGACTCACACTGATTTCACAGATGTCACAGTGCGCACACACAGTCCAAGAATGTACATGACATAAACAATGCACTGTTCAAACTAATAAGAAGCATTGTTAGTGAAGTTTATCTAATCAAGTTGTGCAGGCTTTTTTTTTTTGTTTTAGTTAAAAACACCGACTATAGAGTACAATAGAAATCATTTCTCAAAAATATACTCACGAGTGCCATCAAAGTGGTTTGCAATGGTATCCAGGAAGGTGTTTTGTGGCGCTAGGAGGCCCTTCATCACAGGCATCTTGTACTCAGAGAAGGCTACAGACTCTCAGACAGCAGTTTCCAGTAGTTCCTCACTATTCCCCAAAGAGAACCTGAAAGAAAACCGCTGTGCCTCTCCTTGGGCTCGTTTGTAACTCCTCTACAAGCTTCTATCAGAGTGTGAGTGTGTGTGTTGTTTCTATTCTGTGTCGTTGAGAGGAAACCACTGACTTACATCATGCAGAAATTTATATCTTGAGAAAAGAGCTCGAAGGTGTTGTAGTTCTCTCAAGCTTCTCTCTCAGAATTGAGTCAGGAGCTTTCAGGTTCAGTTGCGCATCCCTTTGCTCTCAGCACTGCTCCAGTATCACAGCGAAGCCTCAGCTTCTCTTCAGTCGGTCTAACTCCACTCACCATGGTTTCTGCCATCTCTGTATCCCCTCCCTCCCTCCCTCCCTCCCTCCCTCTGTCTTTCATACAAAAGCCTGAACCATCCCCCTTTCCACACACTGTAAATGTATCAGTTATCTCTCTCGCTTTCTGTCTTTCTCATATACATCTTGCGTCCTCATACTTCTCACTCCCCAGAGAACTTATTAGAAATCATTCTCTTTCTCCATCTGTTTTCTCTTTCCCGCTCTCTCTACCTCTGCACCTTTTCTGAAAATCCTTTTTTGGGAGGTACAGCAGAATGTTTTGTTGCTCAGGTTGCTTGCTGATCACTCACGTTCACACACTTCTATACAAACACTGAAACACAAAAAGAGAGCCTCAGCACATGTTGGTTGCTGTGGATACACAGAGGACAAGACAATGGTTAGTCATCTTTGGCGTTTGTATAGAGATTTTGTTTTTTCTTGAGCTCTTCTTTGGACATATGGAGGTCAGAGGTCAGGCAGAAGAAAGCACAGCGCCGGATGATTCACTGTCTGACTCAAGGACACTACAGTAAATCTGTTGCTGGACTGATGTTGGTCAGTTGCTTGAAGGATTTATCAGCCTGCTGTCTGCATCACTGTATCTATTTCACGATTTTTTTTGCCAAACATACATATGCATAAACAAACACCGCCGCACATAGTTGCTGTTACACGTACTTTGTACTGTAAGCCTGCATGGGTACAAACACCAGTGGCAATTCTAAATAACAGCCTGCACTGGTTCTTTGAATGGCACCCTTCCCAATTACCACTTTCCTCCAGGTTCCATATAGGAGTCTAAAGCTGTTGTGCACAATCACACATCCGACTTGACATTTCATTAACACATACATTATTAAAGTCTACTCTTATCCAAGAAAAGGTCAAACACACAGCCTACTAAAATCAATATTTCATATCCGTGTTTTAATATGGTCAGTTTACAAAGAAAGATTTTGGTTATATGTTTATCAAGTGCCATTTTGTCAGATTTAAATGATTTTACATAAGCAGCCATATATACTGGCTGTGAGTGGTTACTCTGCAATGTGACAAATAAATGGACTAGTTTCAGGTGCCAATTAACTGAGCACTCAATCAGACAGCTGTATAAGACAATCTAATTCCCCTAGATTTGTATTCACAGTCACAAACAGCATTGTGATGGACAAAACGCTAAATAAAACAGAGGAGGTGCAGGAAAGAGCAAATATAAACCGTGCCCAAAAGTAACATGTATCTGTGTGTGTTAGCAAACTACTAAACCAAAGCAAACTACAACATCATAGTCTCAGCTCAGTTTAACAACATGTCCTCCACAGCAAACCCACTTTCTCAAGACATCTCCATAAAGCTTCCAAGTTAAAGACGGTGTAGCTGTTGAATTCTGACAAAGTGAACAGAAAAAGTAAGATGTAGTTTTACCTTAGAATGAGGACAGAAAACCCAGGTGTCATTAACTCATGCAGCATTATGTTGTATCAAAGACAAAACACTTTCATTGTGGTGGTAGAAACATGCACAAGGCATCCTATCAGCTAATCACATTGTTCAGTAATCATGCTATCACCTGTGTCACTCCTTGATATTAGCACCATCTTGTGGTGCGCTTTATTCTCACACTGTGAGGCGTGTCATACAAAATCTAAATAGAGGCTTAGACATGAGTCCTGTCACTGGGCTTTTTTTTTTCATTTTTTGTTTTCATCTAAGAAAGACTAAAGAGATGTCAGCTTTATGTTTTTTTTTTTTATTACACATACAATATTACACATCTCCCTAAAGTTCTCTGACAGTCAAATGCAAATCACATCACATTCCAAAAGGCAGTTTAAAAAAAAAAAAGGCACAAAAATGTTTCCACATGAGCAGAAAATATACATTTTATATGACACCACTCACAAAATTAGTGCAATTTTTCTACCTACATTTTAACAGAGTCCCAGTATTCTTATACTGTGAGGTATAAGTATGCCTTCAGAGAGGAAGGGGTGTTGTGATGGTAGATCCCGACTGAGCCATCCAGTCCATGTACTGCTCTCCACCCCTCTCCTCAGTCCTCTTCCCCATCGTCAGGATCCCTGCTGCCTGGTTCCTGGAGCCTTGCAGGAGCTGGTAGAGTCGGCTGTGCAAGCGATGCTCATCTTCTTTCCGTTTACCAAGAGTGAGAATGCCGGCGGCGGCATCTCCTGTGAGGGGTACACCCAAGGCCTTGCTGCCAGGGCGACACAGCAAGACATAGAGGCGACAGGAGCGAGATGGTTGCCTGCAGCACTCAGACATGCTGTGAGCATCACAGGTCAGGTGAGACAGCAGCAGCATCAAGACCAGCACCAGGACTTTCTGCTGGGTGAAAGAGATGAGGTTACACCCATATAAACTGATGCAATGACCAGAACTCAATCTGTAGTTTTGGCAGACTTAACAGAAACACAAGTGAAATTTTTGATTCGGACTTCTTCATATGTCTTCATTGAGTGATTTGGTGATATTTGAAGTGCGTAGTTGTTGATTGCTTGAAAGAAAAGAATCAAGGCCAGACAGACAAACTCTTATCAGTGTAAAATGAATATAAATCACCAAATGTCCAATAAGATGATGCTGACATTTATTCTAATTGATTAAACTCTAACCTGTAGTCAAGGATACATACAGCTTTATCATCACCAGCGATTGGGATAATGGCATCTTACTGTCCTCAACCTTTAATCTGCACATAATGGAATTGAAATATTGAATATACAATAATATGATTCTGACATTTATTCTGTATGCACCCAATAAAACCTTAATCTATGACAAGTTACAGAAACTGATATTAAATAAACAAAATCATTGCCAAACTACCAGAATGCATTTTAGTTTGTAAAGAGAAAATGTGCAACCTTTGGTGATTATAAAGGTGTGGTCCTACATCCTGCAGAAACTTTTTTTTTTTAGATTTTTTTTTATAGATTTTTTGTAGGAACAGACGCACATACAGCCCACGCTAATTTGCAACCCTTGTTCTTAGACATTGACAATGATACAACACATAGAAAATACAAATCAGAACCACCAAGGTAAATAATAATACTTTGGAAAGACATGACCATATGACAGAAAGTGTTTCAACTATTTAAAATGTCCCAGTTTTAGAAAATACTCTCAAAACCTGGAATCAGGTTCGTAGTTGTTTGGGGATAATGGATCAATACTCTGATGAATTAATCAATACGCACCTATTCAGACATTTGGGTCCCACCTGGATGTTGAGATGTGGCAAAATATTTTATTGATTAGATTATTCACAGACTACATGTCACCCCAGCTATTCAATGTCAATTTGACCCAGTGCGATCTTAATTATGTCTGAAATTTAAAAAATAGCTGTGGTACATACAGTCATCTTATGAGGTCGGGCACGAAACTGTTTTTATTTTTTTGGTTGTCAGTCCAAAATTGGATTAAGAAAGTATTTGGGATAAAAATACCCATAAACCCATATAATTTTGTCCTGGGATTAGACTCCAATTATGAATGTAGGTACAGGTAGATTCTAAGAATCGCTTTATATGCTGCACACCACACAATATTAGAAAATAGTTTTAACTGTAGGTCTTTCTGTTGTATCACCTTACTATTGTTTGAACAATAAAAAAAAAAAATGAAATGAAATAAAATAAAATTCCCTGGTTATGATCCATATTGATTCTCTGAACAGAGAACGCCACAACAGGTTTTTAGAAAAGGGCCATCCTACAGTTGTGCGTAAATGCATCCCGAGTACTGTGATTTCACCAGTTGAATGAGCAACTTGAGATCTTAGTGACATGGTGAAACACTCTCAGGCGTAAACTGTTCGACTGTTAATATTCATAATGTTTTAATGAGGCCAAAAAGGATATAAACATGTAAAGAATTCTATTTGTATCAAAGTGGGAAGAAATGGCAACAAACATGCAAAAATGAGAAACAACTCTTACGCAACTTTAAAAACCACGAAAGAATAAAAGAAAATCAAATTCAATCAAATTTCAGCTGCCTTACCCTATTAGACACCTCCATCCCCGCAGCTTTCTGGAAGTTGGTGGGGAACCACGTCATCTTCTGGTTTGTGTGAAGAGGAGTCATCTGATCTTGTCTCCCCAGGGGAAGAACAAGTGTCTTTTATATTGTTCTGTGTTGTCCACACCGTCAACCTTGCGTGGACGTCATTCAGGCCAAACACAAACACCGGCACGAAACCCACTAACTCTGTTGTCTCTGCCATTAATTAGTCTCCTGTGGCAGATCATCTCCAAGGCACTTCTCTGGACCTCTGCTGAACAACAGGTATGTTTTTGTGGCTGCATGCCAAAGGTTTATTAAGACATACCATTTCAATGAGTGGTGAGGGACACAAGTCAATTAGCTAATGTTCCAGTGAGTTGTAAAATAGCAGACAAATATAGAAAAAGCCTTGATGCCCTTTCTCATTTCTAATGATGTGCTCATTCAAAAGCCATGCTAATGAGGTTCTAGGGCTTTATTTTCTCATACAAAAGGCGACATACTGACACATCAAGAACAGTTTTTTGCACTTTCTTGCTCGCAAACAAAGTCAGTACTGCTGATGACTATATCGGCCCAGGGACCCCAAAACTTTAATCAGTATTGAAAAGGCCCCTATTATTATCCCAGTAACTCTCTGCTGCACCCCTGCTCCTAGAAAATACCCACACTCTCATAAGTAAACATAACAGGATAACACAAATCACTTGAAAGCAATTATTGGTTTTCAGAAATCCATCCTCACAGCCACATTGCACAGCTTAATGTATGTTGCCATCTTATGGACAACAGGAAGCACTGCTTTAAATAGACAAACTAATTCATGGTAAAATAAATGGCCTACTTCTTGTTTATTGATACAAAAAAATTATATAACATTATATCAAGAGAGTTAACAGTGCATGACAGTGAATCAAAAACAATCAATGAAGCTTTCCAAAAGCTGTATTTATTGATTGCTTTACATTCACTGTGAAAACTGCTTTCAAATTGCTCTGAAGAGCTGGTGACGTCTGGTTGAAAGCAATCAAGAGTCATTCTCTGAGGCCTGCGCAGCTAAAACCTTTTCAGCAAATATCAGTCCATGCAACTGATTGATACAGTGCTCAAATTCAAGTCAACTGGCTTATGTAACATCCCCTTAAATGTATCCCCCTTTGAAAGTCAGCACAGAGCAATGAACGAGAGGAGACGGGATAAACAACGAAGCCAGTTTTAATGGGCCACTTAAAGGAGCTCTTACAGAATCCACACTCACTTCGCAGTGAAACACATGTCAGGTTATTGTTTGACCCTGGTGTTGTGGCGCTAACCCGTAATCCCTCGTTCCAGTCCCACATGCACTGGTTGTCCTGATCTGCACCACAGAACAACAGGTGTCAAATCACTGTATATGTGGAAGTAATGTTAAAAAAAGAATCAGAATATCAATAGAACTAACAACAATTATTATAATATCAATCATTAATGTCTGTTTCTGCAAGAATTATTATAGCAATATATTTTCCCTTCGTACATTTTACATACAGTTTACATCTATATTTACTTTATTTTGTGTTGTTATTGACAGCAGTACCATGTTCCTGTTGACCTTTGACCTCTAACAGGCTGGGTCAGATATTCCAGTTGTGATTGGCTGGTGAGCTCCGCCACTCGAGGATGTGGGCTAGTTTCCACCCTGGGGGACCAAAACACCAACTCACAGAACGTCACACACACACAGCCCCTGGGGAGGAGACAAGGAGACCCTGTGGGGAGAGGCCGGGAATGCTGGAGAACTTAAATCCTAAGGAACAACACTGGAGATGTGTGGGGCTTGATAGGAGGTTGACACCAGCAAGGGATGCGGGTGGAGCATCGGTGTGACTGCGCAGATCAACAGCTGCAGTTAGTTTTTTTTCTAATTTAGCTCTACAGCTCCCTGGTTTGTGCTGAAACGGTCATCTGTGACTCCCACAGAGCTCAGCCTAGACAAGCTGCTCTACTTTGTGCACTTAAAAAATGAAAATGGCATCCTCCTCGTTGAAAGGAGTGAGGGATCGCTCTCAGCTCTATGTCTAAGATGGAGGAGGAGGATGAGCGTGAGCATGAAGAAAGAAACAAAAGCTCAAAGACATGCCGAAGAGTCTCTAGAAACGAAAAGGCAAATTTGTGGCATCAAAACGCCAATGTGAGGTAAAGCCTGTACCCACAGAGCTAGAGTACATAGTGGAGGGGCATGTAACTAGCACTGCCCAGAGAGAGACAGCGTTGTCCAACCAACTGATCCAACTACTGAATGCATTCCTATGCAGAAACCAGCTGTTACCCTTTTGTTTTTCACAAGAGAGAAGACGGAAGAGACCAGAACTTTCTGACTCAGATGGAAGAGAAAAATAAACATTGTCTTTCCAGTTTTCCATCATGTTTAGAAATGTGTGATTGAAGTGTGTGGGGTCTCTCCTTCTTTTCTCCTTAAGCCCTCCTCTCATCAGACTTGTGTCTCACTTCTAACACGGCGAGTCTTCCTCGCCATCATCATCTCTTTAACCCTTTCCATTACCTGTTCCATCTCCCTCTCATAACTGGCCTCCTGCTTTTCTTGTACACCCCTTTCCTTCTCCATCTCTTTCTCGCTCTCTCTGTCTCTCTTTGGGTAGGATTCTCTGTGGGCACAGGCTGCGGGTCAGCAGGATCCCGGGGGATCGTCACTGACCATTTCTCTCTCGGGGATGGCTTCGAGAGGCCCTACTGCCCTCTGCTGCTGGCTCTGGAACTGATATTGAAGCTGGGGTAGGGGCGGGGGTTGAGGATAGGCCGGTGGTTTGGAAACAGTTTGAACCAGAGGGAGAGCTGGTAGCTGGGGATGTGGCAGGGGATGCGGCTGGGGAAGGGGATGGAGTTGAGCCTGAGGTGCGATCTGGGATTGGGGCTGAGTTTGGGATTGGTTCAGTGGTGGAGGCTGTTGGTGGGGCTTGGCCTGAGGCTGTTGCTGAATCTGGACCTGCTGCTGTGGCTGGTGGAGAGGATGATGCTGGAGCTGGGGGGAAGCCGCTCCGTTTTTACTGAGGCCGCAGGACTGAGCTGCACAGTGGATCTGACGCAGAGTGTCCAGTGCCTCGCTCTTCGCGTGCTTCAGCAGGTCTGCCTGACCCTGAGATTGACACAGAGAGAGAGAGAGAGAGAGAGAGAGAGAGAGAGACAGACAGAAAGAAAGAGAGAGGACAAGAGACAGCTTTGTCAACAACACATTTTAGGACAACAAAAGCAACAGGAGACTAGATTGTTATCCATTCCCCCAGGGCTGTTTGTTTGGTCGGTGCCACCTTTTTCACCAGGGGCCGATTTCACAAAGATAAACTTTGAATATGTCTTAGATGTAACAAATAATCTGTTTCACAAAGCAGTTTAGTTATTGACTATCTTAAGCTGGACTGCAGTACAATGAATTCTGGGTAAATTAAGGCTTTAAAAAAAAAAAAAGGCCGACCGAGGAACCACATCCAACCTCTCAGCTCCATTTTCCCCAGCACCCCAGCAGAAAATGTTTGTCTTTTGGAAGCATTCAACAGTTACAGGGATTTTTTACTTGGGAAAAACTAATTCAGTAAAGAGTGAAACAATAAAGAGAAAAAATAGCTGTGGTCTCTAAAAACTCCTCTCATTGCTCAGATTATGAGCCCTGTTTTCCAGTTTTTTTTTTTTTGCTGTTCAGGACTAGTCAGCGCAGGTTTCATTGATTGTTACCATAGTAACATTGGTCTTAAGTCTGAGATAGCCTGTGGGTAAGGTGTGTAATGTTCTTGTCTTAAAATTAGTCAGTCCTCATTTTTGTGAAATGGTCTGACTTGTATTAGACTGATCTATGAATGAAATTAAGACTTGACCAACAATACAGGCCGGTCTGAAATATCTTTGTGAAACTGGCCCAAGGTGTCTTTTGAGAAAGAGATTCTAATCTTTACTTGGTTAAATATAGATAAAATAAAGAAAAGCTGGTAAAAGTGCAACAGGAATATGTCTCCTTTGCGCATTAGCTAATAAGTTGCAGAAGGGGGCAGTATAAAGCCACTGAATGAGGGCCTTTGGTTGCTTGCCAGCCCCTCCAACTGCTCCTCTCAGCTGGTAAATAGTGCTGTCATATGGTGATAATGTTATACTACATTTCTGCTCTTTATTTGGGAGCATCCAGAGATGAATCTCTGCCATATGTGGAGGAAGTGGTCAGGGCAGGCATCCTGCTTTACAGCACTGTCAAGTCAGTCTGGGCCACTGCCATGGCTGCCTGCCTCCTTAAGCTAGCTGTCTCTGCCATGTGGCAATGTGGTGGAGTCTTCTCCACAGGCGGTTATTTCTGTGTGTGAGAGGTGCTTATATTATTAGAACAGGCCAAAAGAAGGAAAAGAAATCCGACCACATGCTTTTCACAAACTCTCTCCACTTCTACAGTCTTCCCTTCAGGCCTCTCCGTCCTGCCACAAACCCTCTGTCTTCAAGCGCGTCTGCTCCGACGCTTTCTTTACACCGCCGCTCCTCCAAACATCTGTTCACAAACAAGTTGAAAGCAGTTGCGCCTTCACATCTGTGAATCTGCATATTTTGCCTCTCCCTCCCGCTGAACTTCGCTCTAGACTCCGTCTGACCTGCTGTGTCAGCTCATTGGGCTAACATCCCCTGTCAGGAGTCGCAGGCTGACCTGTTCCGCACCAGACTGAAGTGTAAACGGTGCAGGGTATAACGCTCTCTTGGAGCTACAAGGCGGGCACAGCGGTCTGACATATTGCGGGATAACTGAAGGTCCTGCCCTGTGCACAACGACCAGTGTTCTCCTCCCAGGTGATGTTAATGCGCTGCAAGTAGCTTCTTACCTGAGCCACTCAAGTACGCAAGCCACGACCATGAATAAGTCATATGATTAAAAAAAAAAAAAAAAAAAAAAAAATTATGTAAGTCATGACTCACCAGGCATAAAATAAGACAGCATGAAGCTTCTTCTTTTCCCGGCAGAGCCAAATCAAGACCGTACTTGTATCACCCCTATGCTGGCCTAAAGCTATTCACAGGGGGCTAAGCCCAAGCAAGGGCGGCCACCAAATCCCACCACTATATCCTCATTAAATTCTAGCCTATAATCTCCCCCTTGTTTTTCACAATAAGTCCATCTCAATAAATTGCCTTGAGTAGATTATATCAAGGTTGTAGACATAGAGAGAGAAGGGTATGTGACAGTGGATCATGATCAACAGCAATGCATCTCCACCTGAACTATTATTAATGTTTTCAATGGGTTTCTGTTTGATCCATCAACTATACAACACAAAACAAGAGGCCAGAGTTGCCTCAATGCGTGGGAGCTCGCTGTTTCGCATGGCTATAGGTGGCCCTGCAATGAACGGCCACCTATTGGCAAAATCTGAGCAGGAGCTTGATTAAATATGTGATAAAATGGCTCAAACAACAGTTAATTACAGTAGACACCACAATGGTGATTATTTGAGAGACCTCAAGAGGCAAAATGTTATTGTTCGTCAGAGGCACTGCAATATGCTTGACATTTGCTTCAAAGCCTCTCTTTCTGTCGCTCTGATTTTTGTTTTTCTCTTGACAGGAAGTTACAGCGAGTGACAGGGTGGTACCACTGGAAAAAAAAAAAATGGGAAAAATACCGTCATTCACCATGACAGCTCTGATCTGACTATAACTGTCAAAGAAAGGCCAGGGAATGGGGTTTGGCAAGATGCGACTCTTTTTTCGCACTTCCTCTCTGCTCCCCACTACCGACCAGCAAGTGCCGCCCAGCCCACTGAGGATCTGGAGAGGTTAGCAGGTAAAATAACCGGGCATGGCTGCCAGCGTTGGCAAACAGACACCAGGCTCTCACCAAATGTTCAGTATGAGGCACAGATTACAACTGAAGAATGGAGGAGGAGGAGGAGGAGGAGGAGCTATGTGCATGCCAAGATGCCCTCATGTTGAAATGTTTCTCATAGAAAACATATGAGAGAGGACGAGGAAAAGATGAAAGAGAGAAGTGTGTGGAGAGACAAGGCAGGGATGGGAGGTGTAGGGATGGGTATAGAGGGGGTTGGGGTGGGGGTGGATTAGGTTTGGGTGCCCACCTGTTATGCTACTTAAGCACATAAGTTTCCCAATTTTATTGAGTGCAATGAGTCTTAATGAAGATAAATCTGGCTGCTGCACACACTGCAACTCTGATTTCAGTTCAAGAAAAACAAGAAGACAAGGGCTTGTTAGTGCTGAAAATTAATCAATATGTCAAAAAATTTTAAAAATAAAGTTTTAGTAATTTTTTAAGCATTTAATTCATTTATAAACCAATGCTGCCAGGTATTTGTAATTTTCAGCTTCCCGAAGAATTTGAGCATTTGCTGCTTTGATTATTTGCCGTTTGGTATCAGTAAACACTTTGAACAGTTAGACAGAAAAGGTAGCAAATGATGGCACCCAGGACTCTGTTTTACATTAGAGACTCAACATTTAATCAGTTCATCAAAACATGAGAGGATAATAACAGAAATAATTGTTATCAGCAGTAACTACGTTGAGGTATTTCCTGTTTGACAGGGCTGACATGAAAAGACAAAGATGAATCAAGCGATCAAACATCTACCTAAAATGACACTCCAGCAAAAAGCTCAGCAAGGGGAGCTTCTTCACTCAATACTAAATTATTTCAAGGTGATGAGATGAGATAAAAATATCCCGGCTGCGCTGTTCTTACTTATCCAAACAGGCCCAGTGTGCAGTGCACAGCCCAAGCAGCATGTGGTGTTTTATCAGCGCTGGTGTTAATACTAGCGTTCATGGAAGCAGAGAGATGAGGGCATTAGGCAACCTAATCTCCCAGAGACCAGAATGCACCTTGCTCAGCATCTTCTTCAAGGCATGTCCAAAGGACCCAGTTGTGTCCTTACGAGGAATAACAGAGCATCTTACATGCGTCTACAAGCAAGTGTCAACAATCCTATCATATCTCGTCAATATAGTTACATGGGCGATTAAATAAAATGGTACTTGGAAGCAACAGTAATTAATTAAGAGATTTTGGGGATTAGGGGAGGAGGCAAATACAATTACCCCCAGGACACCATGTAGTTTAATCTCAGCAACAGGGTCTGGGATTACTCATACAGCTGAGTACAGTCTGTAATATAATCTTACATGTTGGCATCAATCAGGTTCCTGAAGGTATAGGGCAATTATGTGGGTCTTTGTTGTGTTGAAGACCACTTGCGAGGTGGAGTTCAGCTCATCTCACCTTGAGCACAGTGATGTTCCACGCGTAGCTCTCCATGGCTTTCTGAAGCTTGCGGCCTTTCAGACCCTCCTTTGCTCCAATGCGGTGCAGGTCCTCATGGAAGTCCAGACCTGGACAGAGACACACATGTAAATTAGAAGAAAAACATACAATATTAAGCATATATTACTAAAGCCAAAAACAACTGTAAAGGAAAATTTTTTTTTATTATTTTTTTTATAAAGTCACATCCTGTCTTCCAAAATTGGGCTATTATTTGTGAACACTTAAGAGCAGGGAATGTTTTTAAACCAGTACAAATATCTTGAAGGACACAGAAGCATAAGGAAAATCACTCCACTTAAATCTTATTAAAGGATTTAGGAATTTATATGATCTTGTAAAGAGTTGCTGTTCTTGTTTTAAGTAAAACAGAAGTCAAACAGAGGTCATTCCAATCAATCCTCTGCATTTGTTATTGTATAAAATCTAAGATGTAGGGACATGAAACACAAGTAATTGCAGTTAATCATGAAAAATGTCACATTTTACCTCTAGTACATTAACTACAGTAGTTAAATAGTAAAAGAGCAAGAATATTTTTACTATTTCATAATGTTAAAACTAGATCCAAATCCATGACTTGTTCCTTCCGTTAAATCAGTCATCTAATCTGTCCTGCTAATAACAGACAAAGCAGAAAACAGAACCTCCTTGTAATAATGCAATCATTTGCTTCAATTGTCACCTTTTCTCTGCAGAACACCTGCAGAACAAAAAGGTGCCCAGCTAACTCCTCAGGTGCACCTCAATGGCCACAGTAGCAGCTCACTATTCAGTGTGCTGCATTACTAATCACAGGGAAAATGAGGTAATGAATGCAGGCTAACCTCTAATTAGTCTATCAGTTGGTCCAGCTTCATTTATACCAGGCCGACCATTACTAATCCTCTGGGCTTTAAGAACAAACTCCTCCTAAAGCTGTAAGTATCTGCCTGCTTGTCAGTCTGTCCCTGACAACTGACCTTACACCACTCCAGCTTTGATTCACTGCAGAGACATTGACAAAACATAATACGCTATAATTCACGAAAAGCCCATCATCACAAGTCATTCATTCTTTAGTCCTCAGCTATTTTCACTAACCAACAGGCAGACACACTCAGCTGGCAGTTTATTAGGTACACCTAGCTAACACTAATGCAGTCTAGTACAGCAGTCCTGCAAAAAATCCTCCATTCATGATGGTTGAAACTGTTTCGGAGAGGTGCTGATTCAACTTTATGGTCATTTCGGAGGCTGCAGTTTGTGTCGATGTTGAGTTGTATTTGGTTATACTGACAGGTGTTTTCTGTTATTTTGACTACCAAGGTTAAATCAATGAGACTGAATAAAGGAAACACCTCTCTGTCTAATGCAACGCAGTTCAACAGCACGGCTGAATCACTGCCCCTCTAAAACACTGAAGGCTGAACAGGATTTATTGCAGGATCTATGTTGTATTAGACTGCATTAGTTTTGTCTAGGTGTTCCTAATAAAGTGAAAACTGACGCCCCCTTTCATTTGCACCAAGAGGGGTCAATTCATGCCACAGCGTGACACCAACTCTCTCTGGTGAGATGTTGTCGCCCTGATCATCTGACAGATTTTCAGGTGCACCTCACACTTCCTGACAACTTTCCTCTGTTAGGTATAGAAGAGGTATCTAATAAACTGAGTCTACTGCACCTCAGTTGCTGTCAAGAGAAGTCTTTGATGAAATTGATTTTCACTGGGGAGAAGGAGAATTCCCTCAGCCCAGTGGCAGACTGTCTTGCTTGTTTTTTTTGGACCTTTAGATCCTAATGTAATAGCTAAATAACACTGAGCGACATTTACTGGAAACACAGCTTGGTTTAAAATTCAATGCTCCACTTTTTTGTCCTGTAAAGAATTGCCATGTTTAGCGAGGCAGTTAAACTGTCTCCCATTACACAAAACCTATGTGCTGCTCTTAGAGTGTATACCTGATGTCCGCAAATATTTATGCAGAAAAAAGGTAACAAAAAGTACTTCTTAGTACTTTTCTTTAAACCAGTGAGCTGCTGATGCACACAAATGAACTCCAGAGACTTGACTTCAATATGACTGTATGTTTGACACGCACTGCATGAACACGTTTTCCCAAGTAATCTGCAGAACACTTAGAAGCGATCAAGAGGTCTGGTGGTAAATACAGAAAATACCAACTCTGGCCTCCAGTGCACATCAGTGTCAAGGCCCCTGTTGTTCACTAATTTCCATATAAATGATGATGTAGAGCCATTGCAGAATATCTGTTTCTGAGCCTGAAAGTTGTGTTAACAGGGTTTACGGCTGATTTGATCTTGTAATCTGGTGTAGTTAATGGGCTGCTGCTGGTGCAGAGCTGAGCCAAGGCAGTTTGCGATCGCAGGACTTGGGGAGTGAGAAAGGCGCGGAGCTGAATAAGAGATGAAATTAGCTGGAGGCGGCTTGTCGCAATACAGCCTCTTCAAGCATTTAATTTCCCAATTATTAAGCATTTCCTTCCCCCAACAGCCGCACGGTTGCTGTTCCTTACTGTCACTTAAACTGTGTGAAATTTGAGTTAATAAACAGAATGTGGCCCCCATAGCACACTGATGAGTCAGGATCCTATGCTTTGATTCTCTAGTGAAAACAGACAGACAGATAGAGCGAGAGAGAGAGAGAGAAATTAGAGTCACGAGGACTGAGGGGACAACAACATGTCTCTTCAGAGTAAACACACACACATACAGTATGCAGACAAAAGCCTCGGTGAAGGCTTACAGTCTGCATGGAGCAGAGGGTCTCTGCCTTTGTAATGAGTGCTGCAGCAGCAAGTACATGTGCACAGAAAAAGAGACAGTTACAGGCCAAGACAGACGGAGACAAAAGGGTACGTAAACAATAAAATCAAACAGAATCTCCAAACAGGATCTGAAGAAAAGAAATGATGAAAAACAAAGATGGGAAAACGGGGTGAGAGGGCAACACAGTCAGATCTGCAAATAGAGATTGGGATTTTCCAGCTGCTGATGAGACCGGAAAACAATGACTGTACAAAGCCCAGGAAGACAACGGGAGGGAGATGCTTTTATCCCTTGGATTTCCATGGTAATGGAACAGAGTGGTCTCAAAACATACCAACACAACGGTCAGCCGCAGAGCAAGTCTTTGCATGGAGGGAGACATCAATAAATAAGTACAGGCAGGCTTGCAGGGAGACAGCGGCTTCTAAACCCATACAGCGCGGTTGCACCTGTTCCTGATCCTTGTTTTAACATGGCTGCATGCAGAGCCATTTTCAAACAAGACATCCGAACGCTTCACAGAACTGGATGCTGAACACACGGAGATGCTGAGAGATGCGCAGAGATGTTGTATAAATGGCTTAATTAAGCTCTGGCCCATCTCTGCACAGCTCAATTCAAGAAATCCACAGAGTTACAGAAGCAGAGTGCAGCAGAGGCTAGACAGGATTGGGAGTTGTGCTCTCTAACACACAAGCAGATTAGATATGCGTGCAGACACATAAGACAGTGTGCAGAGTATACACACAGTGGTAGCATCTGGAGGTGCCAGAGTGTGCAGCTGTCTATCTGGTCCCCCATTAGCAGTGTGTGTGATGCCTAGCCATCAATAGTGCCCAGGGGGGATCATCCAGCACCTCTCCATCCTCATCAACACGTCAGCTTCACTACCCAAATTAAACTGATTAGCTGCAATAATGACTGGGCATAAACTGAACACAGGAAGGAAAGAGGAAACGGAGGTGGGGCTGCCGGGATGCAGGAGCCACAGCGGCGCAAAACTGTCCGTCGCCGTTTCTAATATCCTGCAGTATGAATGATGAATCTGCCAACATGCCAGTCATTTAACGTTGCTCAGCTTAAAAAACGAAAAGGCAAGATAGGCGGTAAGAGGTTAGTTCGGGTCCCTCCTTTCAGATCGCAGCCTGCCCGTCATTGTGATTATGGCTTTGTCACAACAGCATTTAGCTGATGAGCACAGCACACTTTTAATGGCTGGGGCAAAAGTGTCAGATTCAATCAAAGGCCTTAAACACACACACACACACACACACACACACACACACACACACACACACACACACACACACACACACACACACACACACACACACACACACACACACACACACACACACACACACACACACACACACACCCCGCCCCATCCCATCCTCTAATAGCACCTTTTTCCTGATTCTCACACAATCATTACACCAAAATTATACCTTTGCCTTCCAGATCGATCACAGGGACAAAACCTTCAATTCCATGCAAATCCTCCACGCTCGGATTCTCTGTCTGTATTCAGGCGCTATTGTCATCGTCAGTTTGTACATAATCATATGGCTAATGAGACGGCTTCTGAAGGGTGCATTCAGCTGCCTGTCAGTCTATCAAAAGATGTAAATCCATGGCTTCCAAGCCAGCAGAAAGATGCTGCGTTTCAGCTGGGATGCCACGAGTTCAACCAAATGTCCTCTGTGGGTTTGCTGTTCTCTAGAGGGTAAGAAATGCTCATAATGAAGCGAGATACCGGGATAAACAAGACAGAGATGACAGGAAAAAAAAGGAAGAAAACCCATTTAGAGAGAACGGTTTGTGCAGGGAGACAGGTGAGTCTGTGTCATTTTATTGGACCAACTGACCTCGATTTTAAAATTAGATTGAAGTGGCGTACTTCAACCCTCTCGCCCTCTCTATTTATCACATGTTCAGCATTAGGCAAGGGCAAGTTCAAGCAAATTTTAGAGCATTTTCTTAATGAGCAGCTCAAGCTCTCCAGCAACAACCAACACAACAATATAATGCTATAATAACATGCTTATATGCATATATTTAATTTCCCATTTTCACTAAACCATACAGTTAAAATTGATGAACAATTATGGGAGAATTCTGCATGTGTGCAAGCAAAAGCAGCAGCAGATATACAGACAACAGGGACCCGATGAGACAGGAAGCAGATGGAGAGGACAAAGAGCGTGCTGAGCGAAGGAGCGGCACAGAAGTGTCTGCATTAATATCGGAAAATAATTTGTTTATTAAAGCGGGGCTGGAGATTATTATAGCAGATCTAAAAATGTTGATTTGTGGAAGCAGCATCAGGCATCATAATTTCCCCATCAAGCATTTCTCTAATCTTGATATTCTCTTAAATGCTTTTCATGCATTGTGAGCACAGATACAAATCTATATTTGCTTCTGCATTCTGCATAAACAGATGATATTTTATATTTTCATACTCCCATGTGCTGATGTCGACCGAGCTGTTATACATTAGCAACAAGTAATGCAGAATAACAATAACAATTCTGAGAGGAAACAGTTGTGCATGAACCTTAATATGTAGTTAAATAATGCGATGAAATGCTGCTGTTAGACTTACTTTCTTCTGTATTCTGAGATAATATTACTTCAGATTTTATATTCCCTTAGGCCTACAAGGTTAAATTTAATTTAAAGTTTAGTAGTTTCATTCTTCCAATTTTTGATTTGAGGCAGTAGGTCACATTACATCGATCTTTTACACAAAAAAAAGCTAGGTAATTGGAGTTTGGTAAACAGTGTTGGGGCATCTGGTTCTCTGGCAGCCTGCTGTAATATTCCACAGAGAGAAAGCTGCTATTTGTACAATATATTTTCCTTTCCTTTTTTTTTTTCTGCCTCGCTTATCACTGTCAAAACTACAGAATGTCTGGACGCATGAATGAACAGGCATGGAAGTTGCGTACAGTATATTTGAGAATGGCTGCGACTTGGATCGAGGCATGTGTGTCAGTGCCAGGGGCAGGGGAGTGGGAGAGGGCGATATGGAAAGTGCTATGTTTGGCATGCAGCTGAGGCCCCTCAGGGCTGTCGCTCTAGCCCTCTGCCTCATTGTATCGTTCTTACGTAATGCTGCTCTTATGTGAAAAACTGGTTACTTCAAATTTGGGAATTTCCATGTTTTCACTTCAATTGGAAAGGAAAGGATTACATGCTACTTCAGAAGATACTTCAACCCTTGGGTTTTCAAAATTAATTTACTTTAAACAAGCATGTTTGTGAGACACAAAACAAAGCTAGTTTTCTTACTATGGTCCCTAAAAGTTTGACTTTTAGATTTTAGAGGTACAAGGTTTTTCACCTGACAGCAGCAATAAGCTAAGCATCAGCCCTCCAGTATCCAGCCACTGCCACTGCTGTGAGCGTGGCTGTGTGCGGGTTTAAGCTGTGCTTAACTCTGCAGTCATCGCCTTTGAAGCTGCCTCCAGCTCTGGGCTGGGGGAAACTTGGAGCCAGGGGACAGCTCTGTGATTGAAGCCCCAGCGTTCAACCTACATCCCTGGGTAACTGCACAGCACAGATATCAGCTTTGCTTGTTGTGGTGGGGTGGGGGGAGTGAAGCATATGCCTGCCTCTGTGTGAAAGCAGGGGACGAAGCTGGGCATAGTAGGCTTAAATTGGCTCATCGGCCTCAGGACATGGGGCTGGCATGTGCCAGTGAGCGAGCCTTCCCAGTCTACTTTGGGTTTATCGCACACAAAGCACACAACAACAGCACACGGACTACAAATGACTTTCCATGTTTACACCAGCTATTATAAGGTCTATAATAGGCTTGAATCTGTAGGTCTCACACTTCCTTCAGTTCAGTTGTACTTTTGGTTGCCTTCAGCATTTAGAATGAGGCACAAACATGCAAAATGAAGATGTCAGTATTCAGGGTATATGCTCTGGTTTGAGGAGCTCTTCAGCTGAGGCACTGCTGTGTGGTAGAGAAGCAAAGCAAATGAGGAACAATTAGTGTTGAATGTAAAAGAGGCCAGAGAAGACAAGCCACAGGATTTCTTGATTTGAAGACATTTCTCTCCTAATGATCTTATTATGGTCAATTTTACCAACTCTCCTAAAATGCCGGACCTTTTACACCGAACACTCTTTTTGAAAATGCTGTACTGATGAAATGCTTCTTTAATTCCATCCTTTTCTCTCCCGTTTTTGCCACCCCCTCCCTGCCTCCCCCTCTCACTCCACGCTCTGTCAAAAAGATGTTTATGCTCTTTGTCCTCTCTCCTGCAGCCCCTTTGTCTATGTGGCTGGCTGATTGTTTTCACCTGCCCACTGACATGATAACTACTCGGTGCTGACTCACTGATGATGGGCCCGTTCTATCAACAGCAGCCACTGTTGTTGATGTTGATGGAGGCGCTGTAGGAGTAGATACACTATGCTCATTCTATTAGGCGAGAGGACATGAGACACACAATACATTTAAAAGGCTGCAGATGCACCACGTTCTCACAGTACACGATTCATTTGGATCTTAAAAGAGAAAGAGATGAAAACGTTAACCTCCTCTTATGTTGCTTTTATGATCTTATTATTCTTCAACGAATTCAAGAAATATGCCAGAGGTAATTTCATTTGTGTCTGACACAGATTTAGTCCTTAAATTGTGAGTCGTCTTTTTTTACAGTAGCAGACAGATCTGGCTTATTCCTGCTTTGCTTCATGGTGCTGTGGCTTATTTTCTTATACAAGGAGAGACTCTACATTTGAAAAAAAGGAATAATCTCAAGGCGATGTCATGAAATCGTCACAAGTTTCATCTTGGATTATGCATCCAGTTGTGAGCGACATGTTCTGCAGTGTCGATGGACGAGGATGTTGCGGCAGAGGATTCTGCTCATCCCATAATGCAGCTTACCTGCCCGTTGTGCTTGGGTGAGCTTGGAGTAGACCACATCAGCCGACTCGATCAGTGTTCTGCTGGTCTGGATCATCTAGAAGACAAAAGAAGTGCATGAAGTGAGTTTGCATCTCAGCGTCGCACCAGAGTCACACCTGTAAAAGCCTGGAGCAGAGGCCCAGCCAAACCCTGGGGACTCTCACTGTACAGTTAAGATAAGAAGCAAAGAAAAATACAAAGAGGGAAGCATGTCATATAAATTAATGAGAGGTATTTCTCTTGGCACATTGTTTGGCTATAACCGAACAGCTCTGATCCCCCCTCAACAGCCAGGGCTCATCTTGCTGGATTTGGGCTCAGCTCTTAGCTGCCGTGTTTACAGACACATTCACAGTTCAGCCTCAGCCCAATTAAGGCAACAAAGCTGTCATGTAAATGTCTTTATCTGATTACTTTAATTGGGGTAAGATCATAATCAGAGGAAGTGGATTCTTTCCAATTAACTGGGCATGTAAACAGTGTGGTTGAGATTTCGTTTGCCTTGTATGTAAGTACAAGAGAAAGCTAGATAACATTCATGAGAAATGCTCAATTGTAAGCAGACTATTTAGTATTAGCTTTTGACTCTATGGGCTCACACAAAAGGAATTAGGCCTTAAATGTTTTTGGTTTGGGCCTGTTTTTCCTTTTCTACTCTTACCTGTCACCTTATATACTGTATATAGCAAATGTCCCCACTGCAGGACAAATCTTATCTTATCTTATTGCAATAATATAATACAACTAACATTATAAACTGTACATATAGTCTCAGTACATGCATATAAAACCACTTCAGTATGTAGAGTAACTTCCTATTCATACAATATTCATTCCAACATTTTCACTCTCTTGCACTACTTGTACCACAATCCTGTACACGCAGTACAGAGTACCACTCTTGTATATAGATTGATTTCAAGCTCTTGTTTGTATATAAAAGCTGTATGTCTGAGTTTGTTTATATATGTTTGTATATGTATATGTTCTCTGCACATATGTAAGTACATTGAGAACTACTGAGAAAAGTAAAGTCACCATACTTGGCATTTATAGTTGATTCTGGATATTTGCACCGATGGGTGTGACAAAGAAACAAAGACTGATTGATTTGACTTTTGCGTCTGACCATTACAGTGCGATGTAGTTCGAGCCCTAAACATCATCCCACAGGCTGAAGAGAAGCAGATGGACCAGCCCTGCAGCACTGAGGAGGAAGCTAATGAAGTTTCACACTCCTGTTAGCAGGAGACAGGAAGTGGACTCTCATAATGTGTGTGTGTGTGTGTGTGTGTGTGTGTGTGTGTGTGTGTGTGTGTGTGTGTGTGTGTGTGTGTGTGTGTGTGCGCATGCCTTTTCTTGTTTTCCCATCCTAATGAGAACTGGTTTCAGCGCTGACAATTTTGTAAAGTTAGCTCCTTGTGACAGTCCCTCCGTCAAGGGGAATTTTTAGCAAAATCAGAAATATGCAGAACCTTTGATGTCTAATGCATTAAGAACCCGATGAAAACTACATTTCCAAGAATGTCTTCACTAACCTCCAGAGAGTGGATGTGAGTACTGCGAGTTGAATGTGTAGGTGAGATTTGAAGCAATTGTGAAAGTAAGTCAAATGGCAAATATTTCCAAGAACACCAAAGCGAGAGTCTTGAACGCAACTTGTGTTGTAGCTGCACTGCATTCTGGTATTGAAAGTAGCATGTTTGTTTCTGTTGTAGAGTATTTCTTCCTATGTGACTGTGACTGAGTCTAAAAAGACATCCATGCTCTGAATCTCACTAACCTGACATTAGTTGAATAAGAGAACTATTGACTTTCTTTTTTCTTCCACTGTAACAAATATATATAGCATTGCATTGCCCACATTTGTGCAATTATCCATGAGAAGATTCAAAATTCACAGACATAATGGACTCAGATTATTAATGGACATAAACAATGGCTGTTTTATGTTCAAGCATTTTTCCTTTAAGGGGCTATTTGTAAGTTTTCTCTGCCACCAAACGTGTCCAGAGGTTATAATACGCCTGAGATTGGAGGCTACAGTAAAGTCACTATTGGAAAGTGACGACTTCTAGACTGGTAAGTAAACAGCTGTTAATGCTAACACTGGCTATGTAGTGAGAAAAACTTACAAATAGCTGGTTATGGAATGATCGTGATCAATAAAAGGCCGTCACAGGTAGAGTAAGGCAAAGATATGGTGTCTGTGTGCATTTCTGTAGAAATGTACAGGTATGTGAGCAAATGAGCTCGACTGGCCTGATCTCTGAGAACAGAGCAGCACTGTGCTGAAGCTTTGTCCAGCTTAGGGTTACAACACTGGCTGGTTGCAGCCCACATGGGGGTGACTGAGGACATACCCTGCACACTGATAGTCTACAGTAAATGGCCTGGTGTTGGCAGCCATGCTCCCATGAACTCACAAGCGTTCACACACTCACACACACACACACACACACACAAGGTTCTCTGTTCTTGAGTGGGGAGTGTGCCAACAAGCCAATCTTTGGGAAGCAAACACAAACTGAGCTGACCATGTCCAAGCCTCAGGACAAGACCATTGGTTAATGTACGTACATCATTTACGACTACAATATCACCCATTGAAGCTGCAAACCTCTGACATAATACAACACACAGGAACGTTTGTGTATGCTGGGAAATAAACAGGCTGGGTAAAGCGAAGGGACCCATCACCACAGGGCGTTGCAGGATCATTTAGTGAGAAGAATAAATTTCTAGTACATGTTTTTTTTTTTTTTTGCAATTTTTAATAGCTTACCAAAAACAAACTATAAATTATCCTTATTAATAAAGTAACAAATGACCAATAAGGAAACATAGGTGATGTGTTTTTTGGTGTTAAGTGGTTGGTTTGTAGGTTGAACAAAAATTTGAGAATGGATGATGCTGGGCTTGCCTTTCAGTTTGTCCCCAGAAATTTGTCTTGTGGAGCGTAAGAGCTGCACTGACAGTTCCAGGAAGTCTCCTGCTTGGTGCATAGCCTCATAAAAGCCAAAGCAGATTCTATTTGGAGCCGCACGCTGCGTCGCTCCCGATGCCAGCGCCGATCGACCAAAGCAGCACGGACGCAACAACCTTGTTCCCCGCTTACGACCCACTTCACAAGCTCCCACCGAGTCTCACATGGGGGAGGGGGAGGAGGAGGAGGAGGAGGAGGAGGA